ATTGACTCTAATACTTTTAGCAGAAAATTGAGAAAATTCCCTCACCTCAGGAGTATGCAAAAAAAACTATTGTTTCACTTACAGAGGCTCCGTCGTCGGATTAGTTAAAGAAAAATCAAAATCAAAGTCAAAATAGAAAGGAAGGAAAGAATGATTGTTCTTGTGTAGGAAAAATTGATACTTTCAACTTTTCCTCAAAAATATATTTTTTTTGAAACTTTGATTTCCAAGGAAAATTGATACTTTCAATTTTTCCTCAAAAATCCCTTTTTTGAAAATTTATTTTTAAGGAAAATTGCTACTTTCAACTTTTCCCCAAAAATATTTTTTGAAAATTTTGATTTTCAAGGAAAATTGATACTTTCAACTTTTCCCCAAAAATGTTTTTTGAAAACTTTTATTTTCGAGAAAAATTGATATTTTCAACTTTTTCTCAAAAATATTTTTTTAAAAATCTTTTTATCTTCAAGAGTTATTTAAAAGATGCTTGACAAATCAAAATTTCCTGTGAAACATTTTAAACTTACTTGGTATCCAACACGAGAACAAATGAACATCTTCTTGCACCACCTTTGCTTACGAGATGGTGATTGAATTAAGTGCATCGATTCTTGACCCTTTAAGACACCGATACATGTATGATGTTTCAACAAAGTCAACCATCTCCTTCTCAACAGCAAACCTAGTCACTTCAACCACTAGGCGAGGCGTAACATGGACAGTCTCCTGACAACCTTGATGAGTTAGTTTACAGGAGGACATCCAAAGGAACCTCATGTTATAGTAGCGATGCAAACCAGAAAACAAAGCTGCAGCCCAAATGGGCCAAGGCATCCCAATAAGAAGTGAAGTTTTGTTGCTGTATCTAAATCCCTTAACAACTGCAGCAACTACCATGGTTTTAATAACAATCACTAATATTACAGCTGCTAGCCAATATATCAACGTATTCCAAAGGAAATGCACATGAATCACATCCCCAATACTGGCCAGGAATAGAGCAACAAGCAATTACGAATTTGCTCAACTTGTTCAAGTGTATGCTGATTCAAATTAGAGGTTGATATCATCATTCCAGCAACAAATGAACCCAGCTCATCACCAAACAGCAAGCAAGCAAAAATGCTATGGATGTCAACTGATAGAGCTCCTTAGTCAACGATTTAGTCGTGGATAGTACTCCTTGAAGGACACCAGAACTGCCACCTAGAATTGAAGTAAAACAAACAGCAAACCCACAGCACAGTCCTCCACATAACTGCAAAAAACATATAGCGAAATTGTTATACCACACGAACACGTGAAGAGAAAATTTTGAAGAAAACCTCCAAGGACAGCAACTGCTCGAATAACACGAAGCTTTGTTGTTGAAAACTCCAAGCTTGATGCGTGAATCCTTGGCTGCATATTTTGGTGTAATTGATTGGGCTGCTGTTGCAAACCCAATTGTTGCTGCAGCTGAGTAGTCTGTAATTGCATCTGTGATGTCAGTTGCTACCTTTTGCATCATCCAATCTGTGCTCCCAAGGCGTTCGTGGATGCTTTGCCGCAAGGATTCCAAGCTCTGAGATGCAATTGCTCCCTCCTGTGACAAACTCGCCACTACCGCCAAAAGGGAAGCCTTAGCCATAAAATTCTGATTATTCAACAGCTTGCAGGTCCTTGGACACAGCTTCTGAAAAGCAGCCAAAGGAGGATCAGTTGCACATTCCACCATCTTAGCCATACACGTTGCTCGACGTAACAAAGTGGAGCACCTTTTTCAACGTGTTCTCCAAAACAGGTTCTACAGGTGATCTTCCACCTCCTCTTTCGAAGCAAAGCCTTCCTTCATGGACTATCGCCACGGCTCTTGAGCTCGAGATCGAGACAGCTGCGATTAGGCTCAGCTTGGGCCTGTGCCAACTTTTGTTGCTCAACAGACCTACTCATGCGCTCAAGCAAAATTGGTAGCGGGATCAGGGGAATTTTTTTTTGTTAGTTTCTGATCTCTGGATCTTTCTTCTTGTTGCTGCTCCTTAGTTTCCTGTAATTTTTTGCACAAGAGTGATCAGCAATGCAAAAGAAGGAACCAAAAGTTGAACCAAACACTATTCATGATTGCGTTCCAGTAATAAATTAGATGCAGAATTTATTCAGTATCCTCGTCAACAAGATATTTCAAAGGACGAAGTAAATTGCAAGTCTCCTTTGGACCCTAGGGGTTAGCCGCTAATGTTTGACCAGCAAGCATTCGTGATCTCCTTCGTTGGGTAACTTCGTTTTGGCTCGAGAGGGTGCCTCCAGCACCTCGATCTAACGGGATGCCCCCATGAGTTTGATTTTGTGATAGACCATGATCCCGGACGAGATCATCATTCATTGTGGGTGTAATACCTGAGATATACCACTCACTGCTTCTGTAATATTTTACGGACTACAGGAAGTGAAAATGGTGAAAAAGTCATGTATCACACCCCGAATACCCTCATGATCCTCTTTCCACATACCACTGTCATAAAAACCAATCCCTGACTTGATTATGCCTTCGCCTCTGAACACACGAAGCATGGGAAAGAACTTGTCTTTTTATCACCAGCTTGAAGCCGCTGAACCCGAGACTGACATCTCCAGAATTCCTTTTCCCTCTTAAGATCCTGCTTCAATGATTTCGCCTTTACATGGTCACACACGGGCTGTCTAGCTAGCTTCTCCATTTCAGCAGCTCAACCCGAGGTTCCAAGCTATGTCACATCTGTCGTTTGCTCAGAGGGCAGTCAAAGGCACGTCACCATTGACAAATGCGATGTCTTGGTCTCTAAACACTTCATGGAAGGGGAGATCGCCCATCAAATAGAGGCCTTGAGGGCTGGTGGAGATGGGGGCTTTCCCCCCTCTTTTTTTTCTCTCATATTCGGACTCTTCCTCTTATTCAGATTTCTCCTCCATCTTTTTTCCGTTTCCTATTCGGATTCTTCTTCTCTCCTATCACGATTTCTCTTCCATTTTTTTTTCGTTTTATAAAACCATGCTGTTTTTTATAGAATTTCAGTTCTATTCCACTTAGTCCTCCAATGCTAAAAATTAGCCACCAATCATGCTTTCTGATCATCATCCAACTTAATCTCAATCTTTCTTTCTTTTTTTTTTTTTTTAAATAATCAGATAATAAATAAAAAAGTGATAAATATGAAATAAAAAAAAATCTAAAATAAAAATGAATAAAAATTCCTGCAACTGAACTTGGATTAATCTCAATTGATAAATAATCTCGGATAAAATGGGGTGTCTACAATAATTAAAAGTTTTGTTAACGGATGCCTATAAATAATAATTAAGATTCATTAAAATATCATTTAAAATTACAATTAAATTCACTTTTTTTCATCAAATCTAATAAAAAATTAATTAATATTTTTCTATAATTAAAAATCATTAAAACCGCATGATAATTTCATGAAATCAAATTTATGGATTGAAACTCTAAAATAGATAGATTTTTATTATACCATTATCAATACAAAATTATTTTGGTGCGTTAAAAAAAATAATTAAATACTCGATTAAAAATCTAATATTTGAATGTTTTTCAATTGAATATATCAATTTCAATTTAAATCAATGTAAGATTAAACATTTTTTAATATAATCAAATCATGATTGTTTAATATCAATAACTTTAATGAGTTGTTAAGTTTATTTTATCATTAAATTTTTTATTTTTTATTAATTAAAAATACTTTTGATATGACTTTCAAGTTTAATTTCAATTTTTTCTTTTTGTTAATTAAATTCTTACTATAAAATAAAAAAAGTTTCGCAAATCTCTCATTATTCACTATTTATTTTCTCTCATTAGATAGTGGCTACAATGGAAGAGAGTTTATGTTTTAATTGGCGACTCTAAAATTGGCGACTGGCCACCACTGTAGCCACTATCTTCCATTGTTGACCGCCAACCTTCGTCTTGCGATTTCAACCCCAAAAAATTCCACTTCCCTTATTCGAAACGTTTATGTTTTTCATTATATTTTCCATCTCCATCTTTCTTTCATTTTCACACTTTCAAAGTGATCCAAACTTCTCCTGTCACCAACACTGTCACCTTTAATCGTACCATTTTTCTTCTTTTCCTTTTCTCTTACCTTTCCATTCTTCACCTAAACAAAAAAATAAAAATTTTCTTACTTACAAAAAATTCTTACCTCAGCCTTCTACTAAACCCTTTTCTTTGAATTCAAAGCAAGTTTCTTTAATGTTTTGACTTAAAAAAAAAAAAAGGTTTGCTTGAGTAATTTAGATTGGTGTTTTTTGTGAGTTATGGTTTGATAAAATAAAGTTTTCATGATTTGATAAAAATCGAGTTTTCATGGTGCCTGGTATATTGCCATAAACACGAGGTTTTTGAGCTTTCAATTTTAATGCAGGGTTAAAGGATTTGTTTTCAAGATTTTGGAATATTATGCTTGGAGTTTTTTTTCAGCTTTTCTCAATTTAATTTTTTAAGATTTTAAAGATTAAAATTAAAAAAAAATTTTAAATCCCAATTATGAATTCATTTAAAAAAACCTTGTTTTACTATTTCAATTATCAATTTTAAATATATGAAAAAATTATGATTTACTCCTTTTTTTTTTTACCTACAGTATCTTATTGTGTATAACTTACATTATCGTAACTAAATTTTACTTTGAATTAATCCAAAAATGTTTTAGTCTTACATTTGATACCTTTAATTAAAAAAATACCTAAATATTAGATTCACATAAACATTTAGCAAAAAAAAAAAAATCTGAAAATTTAAAGTTTAGTCGGTAGCTGAGGTTCTATGCCGTGGTCGACGCATTGTTAAAATGGTTATCATCGGCAAAGGCCAAAATGGAGAAAAACGCAAGTGCATGTGCCCCACACGCATGGGCTGCTCTATTTTTTTTTTTTTCCGGGTTATTCTGCTCCCACTTGTTAAAGCCAGCGATTTTTGTGAACGATCTTATTCCCACGCGCAAGTCTGGAGTTTGAATCACGCTCTCATGGGAGAGAATAATCAAGTACTTTTAGACCCATAAATAATGGTGTGGACTGTTTGGTGCCTCAATAATCAATACCCAAAATTCACTATCATCTTCTAACAATCATCAACTTAATCATAGCCGAATGAGTAGGAGATCTCACAATAAGCTCAACCGGGATCCCTCCGTAGAGAATCAAAACCGCCTTCGAAGAAGAAAGGGGCAGTGAGACTGAGATTTCCCCACACTCTCTTGCAAAAGCGGAAGGTACAATCCAAAATAGCGTCTCTCAGTTTCTCTTCTCAAAGCACTGATTTTTGCTTTCTTAAGGAACTCGATATTCTTTACTTTCCTTCAAATCTCCCCAACTCCATCTCCACTTCCACATAATCACCTCTTCAGCACACCGACTCTGCAAATTTCCGATTTATAATGTCTTGCGTATAAAATTGATACGTGATCCGATTTGTGATTTAGTTAGGGTTTTTGATTTATCTGATTTATTTATAAGAAAAAAATGGAGAAGTACGAGCTGGTGAAAGACATAGGATCTGGAAACTTTGGGGTAGCGAGGCTGATGCGTAACAAAGAAACCAAAGAACTCGTCGCCATGAAGTATATCGAACGTGGCCAGAAGGTTCCTTTCTCCTTTTCTTTTATTTTCTTTTATTTTAAAAATTTTTTATTTTATTTTATTTATATGACGCCATTATACATGCATGTATGGTGTATATGTAGGATTGCTTTTTTATATTTTTTCAGAGGGATTTTTTTTTTTTTTGCTTTTTAACGAAATCATTGTTGTTAATTTCTTAAAGATTGAATTTTGCAGCTGAAGCGAATTTTTTTGTTATTATTGTTATTATTATTAAAGAAAATTGGGAATTTCTTGCATTTGATCTTTTGGCAGATCGATGAGAATGTGGCAAGAGAGATCATGAATCATAAATCGCTACGTCATCCAAATATAATTCGGTTCAAAGAGGTACTAAAATTTTATCTCCTCATTGGTTACCTTTATATTAATATGCTTAAATTAACTTTTTTTAAAAAAAATTTGCAGGTGGTTTTGACTCCTACACATCTTGCAATTGTGATGGAGTATGCAGCTGGTGGTGAACTCTTTGAGCGAATTTGCAACGCTGGAAGATTCAGCGAAGACGAGGTTAGCCTTAGATTTCGTAGCTTTTGCTTACTGAATAGATGCCCTTTTGTAAAAAAAAGGGAGGGGGAATTGGTCATTTTTACCTTACTTTGAATTCCTTACCCTCTTGCTGGCTGCATTTGTTATGTTCCCTTTCCCCTCTCAATTGATATAAAAGCTACTGTGAGATGAAAATGCCAATATTGAATAATCATGCATTACTTTCTAAGTGAGAGATGGGCTGCTAGGTGTTTTTGAACTTTCCACTGATGATGTTGTCTAATATTTTATGTTTTCAGGCCAGATATTTTTTCCAGCAGCTTATCTCAGGAGTTAGCTACTGTCACTCCATGGTAACAAAGATTTAACATTTCTATCTATTACGAGAAGTTACAATGGTCTGTTTTTTGCAAGCTTCTCATATTTTACCTCCTTTGATTTTCAGCAAATTTGCCATCGAGATTTGAAGTTAGAAAACACCTTGTTGGATGGGAGCCCTGCTCCTCGTCTGAAAATCTGTGATTTTGGTTATTCAAAGGTAAAACTGAAAATAAGGTTATTACAGTAAGCATAATCAAATGCATGTGGAAATTGTTGCTGTTTAAGATGCTTCCTTCCACCCCTTTTGTAGTCATCTCTGCTGCATTCAAGACCCAAGTCAACAGTCGGAACTCCAGCGTATATTGCACCAGAAGTTCTTTCTCGGGGAGAATACGATGGCAAGGTAATTTAATCTTTGTCTACTTTGTTCAAATATTGTTGATAGCTGCTTGTCTACGAGACTAGGTTATTTTAGTAATGTTTATGTGCTTATGCTATTGGTTGTGTGCTAGAGTAGTTGATACCTTTACATGATGTTCTAAAGATAACTGCTATTATTTGGTCACATGTTAAGAGTTGTTGCTTGCTAAAAGATCAATTGCTAGAATTTTTATCAATTAGTTGGAAATATGCAAATAGTGCATTATTACAGCTAATGCCTCTTTATGATGGAGTTTTCAGTTTAATGACAATGAAAGCAATACCATGTGAGATATTTGGCTAAGAGAAACTGTGGTCTGAGTTTTAGTAAGGCTTTCCAAAGTAGAGATAGAAGGTTTTTCAATTTGCTGTTTCTGATTAATTTTAGGATTGCATTTCTTTTTCAGATGGCAGATGTATGGTCATGTGGAGTGACACTTTACGTTATGTTGGTTGGTGCATACCCATTCGAGGACCAAGCTGATCCAAGGAACTTTAGGAAAACTATTAGTGTAAGTTACATCCTTCTGCCCGTCACCATCCTTAATCATTTAATTCTTTATGATTTGTTATTTTCTTGGTCTGCTGCAGAAAATAATGTCAGTTCAATACAAAATCCCAGATTATGTTCACATATCTCAAGATTGCAAACACCTCCTTTCTCGCATATTTGTTGCTAAACCCTCCAGGGTATGTACTGCTCTTACTGAACTTGTTCAAGATATGGATAAATGCTTGTGCTCCCATAATTTATGTTTCTAAATTGGTGGTTATTGGCATTTTAGGAGTCTTGATATAAATGTCCTTTTTCCATCATTACTTTCATGTGCTAAAGCAGGAGGTTTATATTTACTGTCTGCTACTTGTGCATTGAAAGATAAGTTTTGGAAGCACGGTTGGTCATAATCGTAATGAGATGTTGCTTGTCCATAGCTAAATAAGGATAAAGTGTGAGAGACAGAGGTTCTAATTTTTCTGCCTATGAAGTGGAGGGTTATGTAAAACAAGAGAGCCATCTCCATTTTTAAATTGCCATTCTTGGAGTGGCTGTCTGTTCATCTATTCATCTCCCTTGATAAGCCTGCTTTTCACTTTCCTCTTTCTCCCGTTCAGACTCACTGTTTTAACTTATATTTTTACAGAGGATCACCATCAGAGAGATCAAGAACCATCCATGGTTTTTAAAGAACTTGCCCAGGGAACTGACAGAGGCAGCTCAAGCTGCCTACTACAGGAAAGAAAACCCAACTTTCTCCCTTCAAACTGATGATGAAATTATGAAAATAGTTGAAGAGGCTAAAGTTGCTCCTCCAGTATCACGGTCTGTTGGAAGCTTTGGCTGGGGTGGAGAAGAAGATGGGGATGCAAGGGAAGAAGATGAAGAGCAAGCAGAGGAAGAGGAAGAAGATGAGTATGAGAAGACAGTAAAGGAGGCACATGCCAGTGGAGACATTCATGTCTCTTAGAAGTAGTATATGCTTTCCAAATGACGGAGTTATGCCTTTAGTGCTTGCGTTTATATGAGGTCAGTTTCTACCTAGGACCTGGTGTTGAATAAACAATATGTAAACTAGTGTCTCTTGGGCAAGAAGTTTGTGCAGTCTTTATTATGATTGTTTGGGGTGTGTTGCTACTGATCTTTTAAGGTGGAACTAGGATTTGAAGCCACCCAGTTGCTAAGTTCCCTGTATAGGGAACGGCTTCATAAGTTATGGGTTATTAAGGGTCTAAACTTTTAGAGTCGAATGGAAGATATGCGGGTCATGTCTGTTGATTTCTATCATAAAATGGTATGCCTGGAGGTTTGACTCATAAAAATTTAGGAAATCACCGTTATAATGTTAAAGTAACCTTTTTATGTTGCACACAGCCTGTTTCTGCTTCTCTTTCTCTCAGTTCCTCTAGCTTGATTCTGCTTTCATGTTACATTGACTTTACTCTTTGAGTTTGAAAAAAAGAATGTGCTCAGGAAATAAGGAGCTAGAGCGATGCGAGCAATGTTGGTGCTTCTCCGCATTGTAACCTTTTTCTGCACGGTGGTGGATCTTCCTTTTGTTGCCATTGTCTTCCAGCTTTGAATAACATCATTTCCTCCGCAGAATGACACAGATAATTACATTCTTTTATAATGATTACAAAAAATCGAGTGATAGTAATCCTATCAGAATCAGATCCTAAATTTGTCAGTTTACCACCAATGTTAGATTCCTATAGCATTGCATGCAGTCAGTGCACATTCCCGATCAAAAAGAACCGAAACAACAGCAACACCTTTCAGATTTCGTATACTGATTTCCCTCACAGCACTTGCATTTGACACACCAATTCCACTCATGGCCACCACAGGTAACTTAGAAGCCATACGTACAAACGGTTGTCAGCCCATCCAAACCAACAGTGATATTGTTTTCCTTGGTGTTTGTTGGGTGTACACCACCACACCCAATGTAATCAGCACCATCAACCCATGCTTGTTGGGCTTGCTCTGGCGTCTTGCAAGAGACGCAAATAATTTTTTTCTGGACCAAGAAGAGAGCGAACAAAATGAGCAGGCATGTCAGACTAGCCAACATGCACTCCATCAGCATCACATGCAATGGCAACATCAACACGATCATTAATCAACAGAGGAATTCCATATGAACGGCAAATTTTAAGCCATGCTTTGGCAGATTTCAGAAAGTGCTTTGTTTCAGCATCCTTCTCTCTGCAAAAGTCAGTGAAAATATTTAAATCACAGACATTCAGTTTTGTCGAATCAGCTCCTATAATGTTCACGTCAAGCAAAGAGATAATTCATACATAGTGTAGGTCATAATAACTGAGGAAAGAATACAACAGAAACCTACCTTAATTGGACATGGTCGCACCTCCTTCAATGGCAGCTTTAACAGCGTCGGCGGTAGATTGGCCCCACCTTTTTTTTCATCCCTGAATCTGTAACAGCATACAGAAACAAGTCACTTGGATTAAATGGCTGCAGCCTATGACAACCTTGAGAATGACTCCTAAGCCTCAATAGATGATAAAAGGGGCCTTGAGGCCCATTTCCAATAACAATCTCTTTGCTGTAATTCTAGGCAGTTTCAATGAAGCGTTTTGCTCCCTGCCAAAAGACAGGTAAATAAGAATGAGAGAGAGAGAGAGAGAGAGAGAGAGAGCTGGAAAACAATAAGGCCATATCCCCACAAACAAAGGAAAATGAGCCACAGCATAGAAGTAATTACCTTAACAGCTGAGAGCACTGGATATCCATTTACTAACTCTGCTGCTATACATGATACCATACTGCAACCAGTACCATGAGTGTTATGAGTTTTTATACGGGGTGAACGCAGCTTATAGAAGTTATGACCTACGAAGGTCAAATTTAAAAGTTCAGTTAGCTATCAAAACCCTTTAGGTTCATTCATAAAAAAAGCCCTTGAGGCACATCATGGCAAAGGGTGGAAACAGTTAGCTTGAGAACCAAAAAATCTAAGCCTACCATTATGTAGAATATCAACAGCATCTGATGAGTCAGGGAGATCACCACCCTTGACAAGTACATTCCTGAGAAACAAAATTATGAGAACATAAGTATCTAATTACAAGTCCGCTTTGAATAAAACTTTAACCTACCAAACACAAAGTTTATAGGTTGAATGCAAGATCTTCATTTAATTAATACGAAATAAAAGATTGACAGTTACTCTTCTTAGAAAATCAGAAGTTCCATTCCTTGGTGTTCAGAGCTTATGCCTCAGCTAAGAGGGAATAAAATGCCTTTCCTAAGTCTTTCTGCTTTAAAAAGCTAAAAATAGTGTAATCTTAGCTATCCGTAGAACACTTATCATGCAACACAATTTGTTGGGCAGAAACAACACGACTCCAAAGACAAGAAAAGCTATTACATGAGTTTGAGAAAGGATACTGATACCAGCAAACAAATATAGAATTTATAATTATAGATCAGAAGAACGAAAGAAAAATCAAAGTGATCTTTATTACTAACTTTGGCCCCATATTATGCAACAATCGTGCAGCAGAGCGCATGTTATCCACTGTTTCCAATTGTATGCCACCAAGTAAAGCAGATGCCTTTTTTAAATTTGGGGTTATTATGTCAACCATTGGAAGGAGCTCCTCTCTGAAAGCAGAAACAGTCAGACAAACTACTGAGAACAAACAACAGTTCATATCAGCAACCTCAAATGAAATGAGTTGTGCAGCAGCTGGAAAAGAATTAACACAACAATGACCGTAGAGAAAAACGACGAGGGTGGGCCATATATATCACTGAATACCCATAGAAGAAAGCTATAACATACTGAAAAGTGGAAAGAATGGAAGGACCATCCAGCACATCTCCATTTATAGATATCATGACAAGATCAACCACCAAAGCTGCCTTCAGTTACCAGAGAAAGTCAACTAAAAATCCACTAAAATTGCAATTTGAAAATCACACTTCCAATTTTTAGTTCTGTTGCATACCTTGAACAGGAAACTGCCTGAGAGTTTTACAAAGAATCTTGACTACGTCCACAGAAGATAGCATGCCTGTTTTCACCTAATAACATTTTGATGATAAGCTTAAGTTGAATTTTTTTGAAGTTATTACTTAGAAGACCATATTTTGGAAATAGTTATAGGCCCAACTATGGCTAGGAGTTGCTCATGACTAAGAACTTAAAGCTCATCGCAGTGACTAACTCTTACCGCGTCAACTTGCATATCAGAGAGCACAGACTTTAACTGCTATGCAACGAAATCCTTTGGTACATTCCTTTCACCCTGACAATCAACAAGAGAATCAATTTACCAGGGACATAAACGAAAAAGATTATCAACCTGAACCATTAACTAAACCATAACAGCTGACTCCGATAATATTTTTTTGGTAAAACAAACTTGAGCATTTTCCTCTATAAAAAATGAATCTTTATCTATATAATCATTTTCATTCTCTTTTCGGATGTTAAATTTATAAAATCTTAAAGGCAATGAAGCTCAATGGTTCATAATCCATCAAATCAAGAAAAACCCGAGTCAAACATCCAATTTGTTTCGAAGTATTGAAAAAAAATGCCAGAGAAGAAACAACCTGAACTCCAACATTGTTCTGGGCAGTGACAACAGTTATGACAGTAGAACAGTAAACTCGACGTGAGAACAAGCCTTAAGATCAGCTTGAATTCCAGCCCCAGCTCCCGAATCAGAGCCAGCAACAGTCAAAACATGTGGGATTTTCATCTTCGAATCATCACTTAATGTTGAAGCACCCTTTTCCTGCATTGCTACAACGCCTTGAAGCCGAATAAAACCCTCGGTTCTCAGAACAATGGATGGTGAATTTAAAACTTTTAAGCTGTTAGTATAACCTCTTGCAGAAGCTTGAGAAGGAGTTAAAAGCAAATAATTCTGAGAGAAATAAAAATCAGATTATTAGTATCATATCCTTCCATGCTAATCTTCAACTGATGCAAATTCTAAACTACTATGAATCCATGGAGTTTAGCGGCTTGAAAAAAGAAGAAAACAATGGTTACTTTACCTTGTTGGCGAACAAAGAAGTGGAGAGAAATGCAGAAGAAGCCATGTAAAGAGTGGAAAGCTATCCAATCTCTTATGTAAAAATTGGTTTTCATCATTTTTGAAGCCTGACATATATTTTTTGGACAAAAAGGGAAAAAATTGACGATTATAGTAATGGGGCAAATTGGGTGGGCTCAGGCCTTACCAAAGAATTTGGCAACCGAGCTCCATTATGGGTTTTGATTGAAATAGGGAACGTGAAGCTGCTGGCTGGGTTCTTTGCACCGAGCGTTCGTTTTGCCTACTTTTATGGTATCACTATATTGAATATTTGGACCCAAGCAGCCCTTCGACCCAACCCACTGCCATTTGTCTTGGTGCATCCGCTGGAATCTACCGGTCCCCCTCGTTTCCCAGTTGAAGGTGGGTGAGGGAAGTTAAGAGTTAGGGTTTCAGAAAACCAAACCCAGAATTTCACATGGATTCAATTTCCAACCCCTGTTCCTGTTTTTGTTACCGTTGCTCCTTACCTTGATTACTCCAATAAATTATTTTTTTTCCTTTTTTGTACAAACTCATGTTCCATGGACTTATCCTCTCAATCTACTGATACGTCATCGACCCTCTCTTTAGGGCTAGTGTCTCCTTCGCCGCCTTCCCAACGTACCCAGATCGCCGATGAGTCCATAACTCTCCAGCTGGACGCCAGGGACCACGCCCAACCGGTCCCACCAGTCCCTCTGCAACTCCTCGAACCGCAAACGGAGAACCATAGCTCCCTCCAAAACGGGAACCGAAATGAAAGGGAGAGTTACGATGATGATGAAGAGAGTAAGGAAATCGAAGAATTCCAATTGTTAGGACATTCCATGTGCCTCAAAAGGCGGAGAGATAGCTGCTCTATGTCGTCGTCCAAGCGAATGATGTTGGAGCCTGATCTTGAGACGAGAAAAGCAGCCGTGAAATCATGGGGCAGTCAGCCGCTCCACGTGGCAGATCCCGACGTGTTTGATATGATGGAACAGGAGAAAAAGCGGCAATTCATGGGAATTGAGTTGATAGCCTCCGAAAATTTCGTTTGCCGGGCCGTTATGGAAGCCCTGGGAAGCCATTTAACCAACAAATACTCCGAAGGGATGCCGGGAGCAAGGTATTATGGCGGGAATCAGTACATTGATGAAATCGAAACCCTTTGTTGGAAACGTGCATTGGAGGCTTTTGGGCTTGATGCCGAGAACTGGGGTGTCAATGTGCAGCCTTATTCATGTACATCAGCGAATTTCGCAGTGTATACCGGATTGCTATTGCCTGGAGATAGGATCATGGGATTGGATACTCCATCTGGAGGCAATACGAGTCACGGATATTATACCCCGAATGGGAGGAAAGTGTCCGGTGCATCGATATTCTTTGAAAGTTTGCCGTATAAAGTGAATCCGCAAACTGGGTATATTGATTATGAGAAGTTGGAGGAGAGGGCACTTGATTTTAGGCCCAAGATATTGATTTGTGGTGGGAGTTCATATCCGAGGGAATGGGATTATGCAAGGTTTAGACAGATTGCGGATAAGTGTGGTGCTGTTTTGCTGTGTGACATGGCTCAGATTAGTGGACTTATTGCTGCTAAGGTGTGAAACTGTGAAGTACAATTATTTAATAGGTGCTTTGCTTAATGTGGTTAGATTTCTGTGTTTCACTAATGATGGAGTTCAATCACATTGCTTGGATGTGTTTCTATGCTGGACCAACACTATATCCACTATTGCACTTTACTGTTTTGAGTTAAAATTTGTTAGCAAATCTACTTACTGTGCCAATTGCCCTTTTTTTCTTAAAGTTTGCAAGGCTATTCTTTTAGAGGATTTTATGTGTAGTTGACTTAAATATAAAGGGCGGTATCTAATGCTACTAATATCAACATTTGCAATTTTAAATTAGTGCAGACCACCTATTGACACTGGTGTAGCTATTGTGATGAACTGGCAATGTAGAAGTTTATAGATATAGATATTATTTCTAGTTTGCTTGATGCAATGCAGTCATGAGTTATGGGTTTTTCTTAGTTTGGTCTTGGATGTATGGTAGGGATGGGAAATAATGAACAACTTCATTTTTTGAAATGCGTAAGAATTTATCTTCATTGTTTTCTTTTCAGGCTATTAATTTTTTAAAATTTTAAGACAGCTGTGGTTTTTATAGGAAATTAATCCCATATGTGGTATTTGATATTTTCACAGGAATGTGCGAATCCCTTTGACTACTGTGACATTGTTACCTCAACCACTCATAAAAGCCTCCGAGGTCCCAGAGGAGGTATAATTTTCTATAGAAAGGGTACAAAGACAAGGAAGGGAGGGATGCTTCTAAGCCAAGGAGATGATAACGATCAATATGATTTTGAGGAAAAGATAAATTTTGCTGTTTTTCCATCTTTGCAAGGTGGACCGCATAATAATCATATTGCTGCTCTTGCCATAGCGTTGAAGCAAGTGGCTACACTAGAGTACAAGGCCTATATGCATCAAGTGAAGAAAAATGCTCAGGCTTTAGCATCTGCATTGTTAAGAAGAAAATGCAGGCTAATTACTGGAGGCACAGACAACCATTTGTTACTCTGGGATCTAAGACCTTTTGGGTTGACAGGTAGAAATAGAATGCCTCATTGGCAATCTTTTTCTCATTAAAGTATATAATATGAAGTTGAACCTACATGTGCCTTGCATTTTTGTTTTTCATTTTGCATTAGTTCTTATTAAATTTAAAGATCTTTTGCCAATCAGGACTTGACCTTATGTTGTGTAATGTTGATTTTCTTGATTTAATTAAGGGATTGATTATTTATCATGTTCCTGGTAATTTGTGCTTGCAATATATGTTTTAATGGTCTCTAAAAGATAACAAACTCCTATGGCTGAGAAAATATGAGTGATTATATGAGTTTGGGATGAGTTAACTATTTTGATTCCCTCTTTCTATCTTTCCCTCTATTTCATGTATTCTTTTTCTGGGAGGGGGTGGGCGGCTGTGTGATGTTTTCTCTGGTGACCCAAAGTAGAAAACATTTGTACCTCACTTTAGCCAGGGGATGTTTTTATTGCCCTCATTTGTAAATGTACATAATGGTTTTAGATCTTGATAACTCTTGTATGTGCATGAAGAACTTTTGTATAATTTCATTTCTTCTGGTGATTGGGGAATGCAATGCCAAATTGTTCAAGTTATAAAATGAACTCAAGTTTCAAAGTTTAAGTGTATAGAATATTGGATCTCCTCTCCTCTTTGCTTCTCTCTCTTTCACATACAAGTGCTCACAAATTCAGAACTTAGACATTTTAATTTGTTCCTGTATTTTATCTATTGGAAACATGTATTTTTGTGCTTGCATGTAGTAAGTTTTCTGTTAGTTGACAGTATTATTACTGCATATCCCAACTCTCTTTTATGTCAGAGAATGCCGAACCCAACAAAACATTTTTTTGTAGGTAAAATTTATGAGAAGGTCTGTGAGATGTGTCATATTACTCTCAATAAAATTGCTATTTTTGGTGATAACGGTGCCATTACTCCTGGAGGAGTAAGGATTGGTGAGTGTAGATCTCATTCAATTAAAGTATGCAAGTCTGTAACCCTTGGTGGGGGAGGTTTAGGCTATTATAATGACTTTTCATGTTGAATTCCGCAGGTACTCCTGCTATGACATCAAGAGGTTGCCTAGAGTCTGATTTTGAGACAATTGCTGACTTTCTCCTCAGAGCTGCACATATCGCTAGTATGATGCATCGTGATCATGGGAAGTTACAAAAAGCCTCCTTGAGGAGTCTCCACAATAATAAGGATATTTTGGAGCTCCGAACACACGTTGAGACTTTTGCATCTCAGTTTGCAATGCCAGGTTTTGACATTTGAATGAATTGTGGAGGTGCCTAACACCAAGGATTGCATGCTGCCTCCTAGGCTAAAATCTGCCGCCACCCCAAATTCGGATCCTTTGTTTGGTTTCTGAATTAGCCACTGCAATTTTATTTGGCTACAGCTTTTTGCAGTTGCCAACCTCTGAATTCCAATGCAAACTCTGCAAAGGAATTGTCGATGCTCGAAGGAGGAAGCAAAGGTTGCTTTCCTGTATCCAACCCACACCACTCTAGTTTCCTAAATGGTTGCAGAATGCTTGAAAATATTGCAATAATTTTGGCAGTTACCGTGAGCCTGTATTTCCCTTCGTAGCAACTTTCCTAGTTGTGTTTACAGATTTGTTGAATTTGATTATTAACAATTTGAACCCAGAATTCTTTTCTTTTCATTGTTTGATACAGTGAATCCTGTGTACTATCAACAATTCATTGATCTTCCCTTTTTTAATGTAGTATGGAGAAAAGCATCAATAGGGCAATGTGTCTAACGTAAATGCAATGATAATTGAGACTTGAATATTCTAAAGGAAAATTTTTTAATCTCATCCAAAATATCTAAAGCCAAAGTTTGCCATCAGAATCAAAATAGGTACTACTGGATTAGTAATCTAGGGGGAGTAGGGGTTTCAACATTTTATCTGACTTTCTTGCCATGTATTCACGTGAAGCAACAACGTTTTTGTTTGAATAAGCACAATTTTAAAGCAGCATAAACAGCTACTGGTTTAACAGAATATGCCTAGAAAATTTTGTGAAATGATGGCAAACAAGTAGTTCATTGCATTGCCAATTTTCCCCCTTCCAACTTGTTTTGCAGCATGTAAATTTCTTCAGCCTTTTTCTTTCTCTTTTCCTTTTGCAACACTTGGGCTGACTTCGGGGACCATGATTTGAATAAAACACTTCTGGCCAGTAGTGCTTTCAGGTGTCAACTTTGTCTTAGCTCAAGAATGTCTAAACCCATGAACTTATTAAAAGCTGCATCAAATCAAATGGAACTTCTCAACAAGCCTCCTTTTTACTTCAACAGCTTCAGTTTCAAACATTTTTGAGCTTTGAATTTGGGGCTTGTTTTCAACATATTACTCATTTAAGCAAAATCTTCAATTCTTTCCAATTATTCATTGTTCACCAGGTGGTAGGCTGCACACAGCTTAATCTTGATGTTTTTCTTCATTTGCAGAAAATATTCAAAGATTTCGTCTGTGCTTATGGTTTTATTTCCTTTAAGTTTTTTAATCCATTATGTAGCTTGAGATAACAAACTTTGAAGGGAACTTTCATCATCAGCAACAGCAACTCAACACCACAATATGAAACAAGAATCAGACAAAAACATCTATGAGAAAGAAAACTCTACCCTTTTTGAAAAATATTTTGGAGAAAACCAAAAACCAAAAAAAAAAAAAAAGAGAGAGAGAACATAGGAATCTCTGTGTCTCCTTCCTGTTGTCCTTTCCCCCACTTTTTCCTTCATGGTTTCACAACTGAAATGATTAGTCATTTACTATCACAATTCTAGAGAATCTCTTATGGAAATTGCAAAAGATATGTTTGAAGCAGACATTTCCACACTTATAAGGACACTGTTTTTCTTGCCTTTGAGAAAGAAAAACCATCAAAATAGCAGTATTGAGGGATTTCTTTTCCCACCAAACTTCCATCAATACTCAACTGTACATGTACTTACAATCCGCTACCATGGAATTTTACTTGGATATAAACTGCTAGATAGATTTTAACTTCTCACATTTTTGCTCAGCATATGTATTATGGATAATGCTACTTCAGGTAAATATAACTTCTCACATTCTCTTAGTTCGTCTCAAGTTTTTAGATTAAAAAAAATTGCTCATCAACTTCATGTACATGCCTCTGTATAGTGAATACAAGATCATATTCTAATTTTTGGACAGACAAGAACTCAAGGAGCATCATTTCCTTATCCTCCTGGATAACATTTTCTTTTATCTAACAGGAGAAGAATCTGCCCCCTGGCTCTGGATTGGAAGATCTTGCTTTCTGTAAAAGCTAATGGCTGTCTTATATATATTCTTCTTGTTTTCTTATCTTTAGACAGTAATGTTGCTTTTCTTCGAAGAAAGAATTATATTCCCCTTCCCTTAAGGCATTTCCTTTTCTGGGTTTTCCTTGGAAAAAAGTTCCCTTACCTCTCAACTTCCAGACTGTCGCAGCTGCTAACACTTTACTTCAACAGGAGCAATAAGTTGAGAGTAAAAACATGTTAAAAAGGGCCAAAAGAGAAATAAAAAGGAAAAATAAACGAAGAAATTGAGTGGCATGATGCCACTTTAACAACTGATTCTTTCAGTTTCACATCTTTTCACTTTTTCTTTCTGGATTTTTATTTTCACTTCTCTCTCTAACTATAGCTGCATATGTCCAAACTTTATCTATCTACCTATGAGTGCACATGTCCAAAAGCTTTTTCCTTCCTTCAACTATTTCATCAAAGAAATCATCAATCTGTCCAATTATAGTCTCCACCCCACATCTCAACAATCCAAAGCAACTCTTCAAGTTGTCAATCTTGTCTTGGACCTCAACTTCTGATCCATACTTTACAATTGTTTCCAATTCCTCTCTTACCTCTTCCATGGCTATCCTGGCTTCCCTGAATTCATAAAGCAAAATTCCAGGCTGCCCACCAATTTTTTCTATTTCATTAGATGCCCTTTGATGCAGCCTTGCAATTGAAACCATGAAAGTTGACCCAAACATCACATGCCCCTCATGCTCTCCATGGAAAAAGCTTAATTCAGGCCAATAATATACAAGCCCGCTAAGCAAGATCATTAAAATCAATGAACTAACATTCCTCATTGCATAAAGAACGCCTCGAAAGCCATTGAAACCATTCAACTTTGATTCTATAGTAACATTCTCATCAAATCTTAGTGATAGTTGTCTGGCTCTTGTTTGCATCAGATTCCTGTTTTCCTCTTCCAACACTACAATTTCCCTTTGGCAGCCAACTATTGCCCGTATAACCTACAGCATCAATTAGACAATCATAACAACTTCTTTGACATTAACTAATATAAACAAAGAAAGAAAACCCCATTTGAAAAGGTTCTGTGTGGACAACTTTTGGTGTTTATCACTGACCTGGAGAGAAAATTGTGGGTTGAATTGCTGATGATGGTCAAGTGAGGAAGTAATATTGCTAGCGGAAGAATAAAAACTTTCCATCCCGGAGATGCCAGATTTGAGTACAAGACAGACTTCCCACAGCCTAGAGCTTTCGTCCATGTATTCATCAAGCCATTTTTCTCCTACAGGAAGGTGAAGTTTTTGAACCAAGATGGTCAATTGGGAGTGGAAGGATCGGAGCGAAGAGATGACCTTTTGGAGGAATTGGATTGACATGAAGTTACAAGAAAGGAAAGAGCAATCAAGTTCTTCGAGTCCTCGGGTGAGCAAGTTGTAGAAGCCATTGACAGAAGAAGTGGTGCATGAAGGATCCATAATGGAAGGTGTGGAAACAAAAACAATAAAAGATGGTATTGTGGGAGAAAAAGTTGATGGAGATTGATAGATATTTATATTGGAAGATGAAGAAGAAGGTGTAGAAGTGATGAATAGAGAGCTAGCTTAAATAGCTCAGGTTTCTATAGTGAAAAGGATTGTTGGGTGCAATTATGTGTCTTTCCTATATGGTGGAGGCCATGATTGGGAATCCATTGGCTTCAATTTTTTTTTTTTTTTAAATTAAGAGAAAGAAAGAAAAAACATAAAAAAAAAACATGAAAACTTCATGAACTTCTTTGTATATATACACTTGGTTGTCTACCTTTCTTTATCCCAAAGGGAGGTTCAGTACAATTAACAGATGGAGATATCGAAAGTAAAATCAATCAAAACAATCTTGCAGCTCTTTATTCTATGATATGTTAGATTTTGTTCCTTTGGCTATGAAAGATTGACTACTTTAACTGAGATTCTCCTTCTCATTCTTCCATTTTGATTTGGTTCTCCTTTTGAATTAAGTGCCCTTTGCCTTTGCCTCCGCCTCTGCCTTCTATTTACTTTTTCCCCAACATATATCTTCCTTAGCTTCAACCTTTTGGTTTTTATATTCCTCTCTCTCTCTCTATGTATATATATATATATATATATATATATATGTTGGCCTGTTTTTATTCAAGTGGTAAAAGAAACGATAAGTTTCTTTTGAATTGGAGAGATTAATTAATTTATATATGTCTACGCTTACAATGTGGATTCTTTTCTATTCCAAGAACCGACATTCTATTTTTACATTAAGTTTAAGATATATCTGTTTTAACTTTTCAAAGGAATATTATAATAAAAAAATTTTATATTTATATATATTTAATATGAAATAAATAAAATATGAATAAATGTATTTGACATGTCTAATCTTATAGTAACTATTGATCCTTTGCCGAAAGGTTGTGTCACGGGAGATGGGCCAATGAAGTTCATGGAATCGCCCAAAATAAATACTAAATTAAGCTGTTGACAGAATTTAGAAGGAAGAAGAATAAATTCCTGATCCTCACTCCATTGGAGGAGCTAAAGGGAAACAATTGTTTCTCGTTGTGTTCATTTGCTAAGTCAGTTGACTCCGTCAAAAGTTAAAAGAGTCTCAAAAGACCTCTATCGGTCAGTTTTGGTCCATCAAAAGCCCAAGGATTGTAAATAAGACAAAAAAAAAAAAAAAAAAAAAAAGCTAAAGAATGTGTGTTTCACACCATAGAATACATTAATATTCTGTGGTTCAATAACGTGTTGTAACATCAATTCGAAGAGATTAAAACTTGGGATCCAACGATCCAATGAAACAAATCACTTTCTAATTTGTATGGAAATTTTTTCCTGTTTGGTCCTTATAATGATCACTAATTTGAATCATTTAGATTATTTTTGTCAAGCTATTTGAAAAGATGTTCTTAATTTCAAACCGAGGGGCAAAAAAAAAATTTCCTGATTATATGAGGCTAGTAATTTCCTTCTGGAATATGCACAATAATGAAGCAACATTAATCTGACTGATCCAATTAAGTTAATGGAGGTTTGAACAAATTCTGATTACTGAGGCTGATCACAGTGATCAAAGAGGAGGAAGATTGGCAAAGGAGTTTTCTTTTTTTTTTTTGCTCAACCAGGATTTCTTGTAAAGTTTGTTTCGTAAGCATTGCATTAATCTTGGTTTAATTTTGTTTGGATTTAAAACAAATTGATCCTCAGCCTTCATTCTTCCCAGTATTGTTATTGGAAATTTGTTGGGAAACATGGAAACTCGTTGCTGATAGGTAATACAAAGAACCTTTTTTCCATCCTGGGCATACAGATACAGATAAAATATAGAGAAAGATATCACAAAATCCCATGTATGGAACTGTTCCATCGAAATAACATTGCAAAAATTTCTTCATTCCATCCTAGCTCTTCAAGCATCAGGTACATAAATAATTGGGTTAAAAATGTTCAACTAAATAGGAAGTTTCTAGTGTATCAGGTAAAGCTTTGGCTTCAGGAAATGTTATCAAAGCCTTGGTTTGGAAAGTTGCATCCTCAAGACAGTAACCCCCTTTTTTTTTTTTTTGGACAAAATTGAGTATCAAAAACCTTATCAGGGCACCAGAAGTGTTACCTCTCTAAGACAGATTTTACAATGACAGTACCAACTGGATGCCAAGAATAACATTTGAATTGCAATGTGCTTGAAACCCAATAACATCTGAACTGCAATGTGCTGAAATCCAAATTTTCACAGCTCTGACTTGGATTCTAGATCTTCCAATGTACGGTCATTTGAGGTAGGCTCAGATGATGCTACTGGCTCAGGATTGTCCAGTTCATCACCCAATATTTTGGCAGTGAATATTCTTGCCTCAAAGTCGAGATCTGTCCACTCAGAAACTATTCTTCTAGCACCCTGAACACGGACATGTAGTAGATAATTAAAGTGATGCAAAGGAAAAAGGAAAGTAGTATGAAGATTAATAACAATCACCCGTATAATAAATATATTTCCTTCGTACAGAAAACATAAATATAGAGGATCACCTTAAGTTTTGGTTCTTTTGTCATTGGATTGTTGCAAAGATCAATGGTTTTAGCCCTAGGTTTTGTGGCATTTCCACACCATGATTCACACCATAGCCATTCTTGGGGTAACGAAAATATCGGTACCGTATGCTGAGCATAGTTTGGAAGATCCTGAAATAGTAATGATGGATACTTGAATATCACTTACAATCAATGTATGTATGTAAGCCATAATGTGAATCACAGACAAAACAAAGTGAAAATACCCAGCTGCCATTAACATGTAGATATTAACAGTTCTTTTTTACCCTTTTGGTTAATTCGTTTTGTGACCTTTCAACATCCCAAAAACATGAGAGCAACTACATGCATTATTTAATAAAATTGTGGGAAGAAAAACAATATTTTATGTCTTGAAAACTGACATAACAAAGTCAGTGCAAAAACTAAAAGCACATAGAGAAGGTGCAATGAATTTAACTTGCCTGATCCAGATTGGCTAGACTGTTTGGGTCCTTGCTAAGAGTTTCATAAAAGACTCTTAAATTATCTCCAGCTGCAGTCTCACGAAACTTCACCAAGTCAACCACATACAATGCACTGTACAAGTATGATACATTAAGCCCATGTCATCATCAGAAGGAAAGAAATTTATTGTTATACAATTTGAAAGTAATCACAAACCTTATATGGTATGGTTTACCCCGTAAATGATCTTTCCAAAATCCCTGTACAAGAAAGAGAAACATGAACAAAGAGGGCATGATTAGACTAAGAGTTGTATTATAGTTACTGTTACCAGGTGATAAAAGGAATAAAACAGAAACAGTGGAAAAATTCAATTTTGCACATGGCACGGGGAGAGGTGTGGTAGCAAATTACTTGTCTCCAAAATCGATATCCATCCATGTCCTTATTGTTGTCACAAAAAGGAGTATATGCAAGAGGTCTTCCTTTGATATCCATGTCATAGAGTTCTCCCATATCTGCCCTTACAACTTGATCAGCATCAACAAATATAACCTGCACATGCATTTTCATCCATGAAATTCACAACAAATGCAACAGAAGAGTACAGTTGTCTAACAAGAACCAAGAAAAAACAAAAACAATACCTTCTCCAACGAAAGGGGAAATATAACATCAAGGAACAAAATCTTATATGCCCAGATAATTCGCTGTTTTTCTTTCTGCTTATGCAACCATGTGGGCCATTTGTAGGTAATTAGTTCATACTCAAAGCCATATTCCTCTGCCATCTGTGGAATCACATCCTGCATTTTATGTAAATAACCAGAAAGTATATGCACATTAGACATACTTTTTAAATTATAGATTACAAGGGGAAAATAAAGAGCTAGACAAAGATGGAAAGATTGCTGCCAAAAAGATATATACAACCTTGAACTGAGGAGACAAGTAGTTCTTTATAAACCAGAATTTCACTGGACGACGAGTGTTCTTTAATACACTTAAAATCATAATTTTAAGGAAGCGTTCATATCTGCAAAAAGGGCAAATCAAAGAAAAGTAACAAATGACCAATGATTAGTTAAGAGAATATACCAAAAATGTTGTCATCGCACAGGCAGATCATTGAACATATAGAATGGATGCTTAAACATGATAGAGCTCATATTTGAAACTTTATACATTACAATATTTTAACTTCACCAAGAGCAAAAGTCCTATTTTAATATAATTCCAAAGGTTGCAATATTTCAATTCTCTTGGCTACATTCAATAATGTTTTAGATTAATAAAAACTGTCAAAACAGACAGTCTGACCCAGGCTGCGAACTATAGCATGTACTCAAAAATAATTTCCTCAACTGCATTGCTATGACAACCTAGTTAAAGTTAGATAGAAAGAGGCAAAACACAAGCAAGCAAATAAAAATAAGTTTCAATAGGAATGTGGTGCACCTAAACTATAATCTGGAAGAGAAATAATGGAGTTAAGCCTGAGAAAACAAATGGCTATAGATCACATATATGAACATCTACATCAGAAGCACATAATTGGTCTGTGTATTATATGTGTGGTTTAAAAGTATCTTATCCACTTTCCACAGTCTGTTTCCCAAAAAAAAAAAAATCTTGTTTCTTGTATCTTAGAGGAAAACGCAAAGTATACTACAAAGACAGAAATTTCATATATTTAAGACAAAGTTAAACTTATCAAGGATAACAGTATGAAATACACAATCTACAACAGCAAAATTTTAAACCATGGATGAAGGTTATCAAGGGCAACATACACCTACATGCATGTACAGCCATGAGTATCAAGGGCACACACTCATATCTATAATATAAACATGTAAATACTGAAAACTCAACTAACCATGAGTATGGACAACCAAATGGTTAAGCAAAAAAGGACTTGAATAAACATGTAAATGCTGGAAATTCTACTAACCATGAGAATGGACAACCAAATGGTTAAGTGAAAAAGGACTTGGAAGACTTACAAATGTCCTGAAGCAATTGAAAATATGTTAACTGTTTTTCCATGTCGTCCACCCTTCCCATGCTTCTGAGGAAGTAAAATACATCAATGATTCCACTCTTTTGAGAATCAAAATAAATATAAATCTCAAACAATAAAGCATACAAAGCTGTGCCAGCAAGTGAGCCATACCATAAGGTGAGAAAATAAAACAAACTGCTCATCTTTCAACGGTAATGGAGGTTCTAAACAGTGATGATAAGAAACATATAGAATACTAGTGCTACATTTGCATTCTTGATTTGCTTACCATTTTATTAGACCTGATTGATGGTTTGATTTTGTTTACCCCCCATTCCTTATGCCATCTTCCCTTACCTGATTTCTTTGTCTTCCATAATTCCCCCTTCTCATGTTAAGTACATTCATTGACATGTAAACCTAAGCTAAATCAGATAAGCATGAAAGCGAGCTCTAATCCTTTAGTAAAGAGCTTACGGTACCCCTTTTTGCATTTTATTTTTCTTTTTTACACCAGAGTTATCTTGTAAGATATTGGAATCAAATGGCTTCTGTGGATTCTAATCCTCTCAAAAGAGGTAAAGAATTAATCAAATTTAGTTAGAAAGGATAGAAGGTAGGGAAATGTATGGGATTTCAAATTTTGAGATATTTAATTCAATCAGAAAATCTCAGTAATGAAGTCTTTTAATTACTCTTTCAGACAGCCATAATATATACAAGAAAATGAAGGCATAAACATGTCAGCACAAAATAAATACAAGAAAAAGAAAGCATAAACATGTCAGCACAAGAATCTCTTCAAAAACTGCAAGTAAACAACCAATTTATGGTTAATATCCATAAGACTTTCTTGTATCCAATGGTTATGAAAGAAATACTAACCAGACGAAGTGAAGCAGAGACTAAGCAAATGAAATTATGGAAGAGAACACATAGCACACAAAAATAATCACAAGATTGACTTATAATTGATGTTTCTAAGAATGCTTAGTGACTAAGCCTTTGGAGGATGAATAAATTTATCAAAACAGTTAACCTCAAATTAACATAAAACTCAAGATAATTTCTCAATCAGGAGATACTGATGTAGAAACATAATTCAACCACTACACCATAACATCACTCTCATAAAAATATAAACAACAATAGCCAAAGCAAAAAGAGACTTCTTGCCACTTTGTTTAGGTATTATACTCAAAGTCATTTTGGGCAGCTTAATGTTGTTGCATGTCTTAATGTGTGTTATATTTTGGTGTTGCTTGTGCTAAGGACAAGAGTAATCAAGTACAGTTGCACCAAGAAATTAATCTCAAAGGGAAAACAAAATTTAGCAGCTTTATATGCACCCTCTCACAATTATTTTTGCATACTTATTTTGACCTTGGTTCAAGGGCCAATCGTTTTCTTTCCCTTTTCTTATATCATCTTCTTCTTATTCTGATCCCTTCTCACAGGTTCGTATTTATATCAATTTCTTGGAGTAGTTAAACTAAATTAAGGTGAAATATTTATTATAGAACAAACGAACAAAGTAAACAAACAAAAAGATTTACACAAAAAAGAAAAGAAAAGGAGAAAAGCTCACCACCAAACTGTCATCACTCTTTCTTGATTGCTCACTTCCACCAATAAAACCAGTAGCCCATTTGAGAAAGTTTGAATTCCAACCATTATGTCCCTGCTAGGAGGAAAAAGGAATTTGTTAAGCATGCATCAACACAGATTTCTCAGCCATCCATGTGCACTAAAATGAAGATTGCACAAAATATTTCAAACAGCAGCAACAACTCACCCTCTTTTCTTTTGAATGGTTGTCATGATCAGCTGAAATAAGCAATTTTTCTTGCTCTTTTCCCTTCTTCTTCGCTACTTCTAGATGAACTACTTTACCCCTCAAATCATTTATAGTGATTCGCTTTGACAAAGATTTCTCTTGACTTCCATCATCACCACCATCTCTAAAAAGATACAACTCGGAACTTCTGCCTGGAGCAAGTTGCAGGTACCAAACTCCAGGAGATACTTTCATCTGCCAATAGCCCAAGTTGGCCATCACAATAGTATCAACCAAATGAGGTGTATTCTTTGTTCCAAGAATTAGCTGAAGACCTCTGGGAGGGTCACGATCCTTCTCGGCACAATGACCTAAATTACACACCCAAATGTAAAAGTCTTAACAGGAAATGTATGTAGTACTCATTCACTCCTCCAGTTAACACTTATAAATTTCCCATTATTTATAAACAAAAACAAACTCACCAGTCAGAACAAGAGCTTCAAGTTCAAAAACTGCCTGCAATGTCCTTGTGTCACCCAGGTTTTCAAGCAAAATATTGTCCAGGTCATGACTGAAGTATTTATATACACAGAGAGAGAGAGAGATTAGTCAATGCAGTAAAGTGCATGATGTTGCAACTTTTCAACATTTGTAAGGAATAAACGAGAGGGGCAATAGACCAAGAAAGAAATCTAAGGAAGAAGCATACACAGCAACAACAGGCTCAACAAGCCATGGCTCAGGTACATCCAGGTTCATTGTGAGTGTTTTAGACAATGGCATATTTGCAAAAAATGCTTTTGGTCCATTTACAGTGCAACTGGTACTGCTGAAATCATCCTGCAAGGTTCTAACACAGCTAAGATACCATTCTTGAGGGCTCAAATTTGAGTGGCTTCTAAAGTGAGATGCATACCATGGTTGGGACAACATATCTATAATAGTTCTTCAGTGGAAGATCAACAAGGGAACTCTGCCACAAAAGTAATAGCTTATAATATTTTCCTATGAATTTTGTAACCAAAAGACTTCAAGCAAGGAACAAAACAAAAGCTAAAGTGATCATAGAAAACTGCAGTGACCTCATCATAAAGACTGAAAATTTCAAGGAAAATAACCCCAAATTGTGTGATGTTTAATGATATTTTGAAAATATTCTCACCACAATGAAATTACAAAATTTTCCCCAAGAAAATATAGTCAGAACTCTTTGCTTCTATTTTTATTTTATTTTTTTCAATGTTTGTTTACCTCATGTAATGGCCCTTCCCCATCCTCTGCATGGACCGAGCCCAAGGTCATATGCTATTTTGCCCTTGGCCTAAGCACATATCTCTCTCCATCTCCCAATTAGACTTTCTATTCACAAGCACCACATTCTAGACATAACCGATACTGCAAATATTGACTCACTACGAGATTTAGTACAATGCAATTACAATATGCATGCTTTAGTATGTTCTCATGCATCTCTTTCAGCATGAGCACATATCTCTCTCCATTTCCCAATTAGACTTTCTATTCACAAGCACCGCATTCTAGACATGACGAATACTGCAAATATTGACTCACTACGAGATTTAGTACAATGCAATTACAATATGTATGCTTTAGTATGTTCTCATGCATCTCTTTCCTGAACAATTTTTCTATTCATAAACACCACATAGCAAAGATAACCAAGATTATAAGCATTAACTCACCAAGGGATTTAGTACAATGCGCATGCTTGGATGGACATACTTAGCCAAAACACGAAGAAGTGACGACAGTTTCTGACCAGATGGACTTAAAGGATCAACAACAGCATCAATATGAATACTAGAATTCTCATTGTTAAGAACAACAGCACTGGGGAACATTCGAGAAAGAAGAAAAGAATGAGTTAGACATATTGAGACAACAAATCAAGAAGAGAGGATTATAAGCACAAACAAATGAAACATACACTAGTAAATCAAAAGAAAACATGACTAATCAATCAATCAATCAACATGAAGCTTTAGGAACACAAGTTGAGAATTTCAAAGAGTAAGAGGTTCAAAATTAAATCTTATTATATTGTTACTTAAGAGGATCATTTTGTTTCCAAGCAGAATGGAAATATTATCATTTTGTCCAGGAGAAGCCCAAAGTGGCTTCAATTTGGATTGGATTATGGGTTTACTTAAAGATTAAAAGGAAGAAAACTGAGGTTGACAGAGGATGAAATACAAGGTGAGGAGGTAAATTAAGATACATTGTCCTTTGAAAAGATAATTTTGGTCATGCTTTTATCTTTCCTCAAAATCACTTGGGTTGATCATAATTCCATTTGGTTCACAAATGATATAGAAATAGATGTCTGCTAAATCTAGGAGGACTGTAGACTAGAGAGGTTGGCAAGAAAAACAGAAATAATAATGGAATTGAATACTGAACTATAGTTGAAAATTTTGAAGAAATGTTATGGCCACCATGCTATCAAAATGCTTTAGAAGCACTTACCTATATTGAGCATTCAAAATCTCAAAGCGTGCATTTTCAGTACTTCGATCCCTTGTAGCCATTGAGGATGACACGAACATAATAATATCACTAATGTATTTACTGAAAGCAGGAGTAAAATTATTACAACGCAGTATGTGTAACCCGAAAGATGAAATCTTGAAAAGTACAATAATCTATCTGCAGTAAATAACAAAAATCAGGTTCTCAATCAAACTCAAAAAGTCTATTGGCAATCAGGAACAAGTATCATAAATCAGCAAAATCAGTAGCTTGTGCAAGTTATTGAGCCAATAGAACCACAGATACAAGGGATAAATATGTAGTAAGCTTGATAAAATTATTCGCTAAATAACTATATGTGCCTCACTGCATATGCTGCATTAATTTTTTTTTTTTTTGGGGGGGGGGGGGGGGCGCATGCGGATTACGTGAAGAAGATAACCAGCAAGAAGGAGCAGAAAACCAACAAACCTTGTTAGCATGTCAGGATCTATGCCCTGCCAATTAACTTCTTCAATAATCTCTACAATGTGCTTTATTCTATGCTTGAACTCAACAGACTCCAGAAGATGAAGATCATGGCTCAGAAATACGCCAGCATCAAGAGAAGTAACCTGTCAAATAGAAAATAAGAATGATATAATTAGATCAGCTTCATAAGCAGCTAAAAACCAAGTTATTGTCAGTTAAAAAGAAAACAAGGAATCAGTCCAACAATAATCCTAAAGATTGATGACACATTTAAGGGAGATAAGACAAACCCTGCCATTGGTGATGACTGCATTAACACCAGAAGCTATCCCAAATTGTCTATACAAAAATTGTGCCACCTGCATAGAATTGCAATTTATCATATTAACAACTCTATGAGAATTAGAAACAGAAATCAACATTGATCCAAAGACTTAACCACTAGAATCCTTACAAGAAAAACTCAGATTGGAACAGAATTAAAATATTTCAAACCAAAAAAATAAAAGCATTGAGGGAGAGCTAGAACAAATTATAAAAGCAAAAAATCAACTAAAGTTAGTTCATTACCTTATTCAAATGTTCTCTCAACTTCAAAGCAGAAGCTTTAGATAGAGAGGATTTATATGCCTTAGACGACAGTTCATTTGCCTCAGCAAGTTCATAGACCTTATCAATGAACGCTTCAGTGCTTTCAGCTGCTGCGGGAGATCTAAGATTGTAATCATGCTCATAAAATGAGCATAGTTGATCTAAAAACTCCAATACCTTCTTCTTATGACTGCAAAAACAGCGGTAATGCAAGTAATATCAGAGCTGAGACTGCAAAGCATATTTATAGAATTCAATTTAATGAAATAAAAGCCTGCAAGAACTTTTAGACTTAGGAAACCTATATGAGGCTACAGTGATCTCAAACGTCTTCACAAGTAGAATACTAGGCGAATTAGCATCCTCACTAGCACTAAATAACACACCAACGCGAGCATTTTTGGACCCTCCAATCTGGTAAATAGTGCAAGCATTGTTAAACCATCAATAATGATAGTGATGATAACAATAACACCATAGAAAGGATGATTCAAACGAGAATGAAAGCAAAAGTCATGCATAAAGAATAACCAGATAACGAATTCCTTCATGAAGTAACTTTATCCCCTTTTTCGATGTGACATCAACAGCAAGAAGATGAGTTACAGGCTTCACATCATCCACAGCTGGCATTAATCAACCCATTAAACATGTCAGAATGCAAACAACTGGAAAATAGTAAAATGAAATTAATAACCAACATAAAGTCTGCTTACTTTCAACAGAATGAATATAATTAATTTCATTCAGTACAGATTCCCCTCCAAGGATTGATGAAGCTAGTGATACAAACCTTGATTTGACCTTGCCATCAACAATAATCTACATCCAACCAAGATCATATTAATACAAACATATCATAGTAACGATATATAAATATATATGGGATACTCCAAAAAGAATCTAACCTACACTTTACCTGGGGATTATAGCGACTGACACCATTTTCTGATAGGAATTTGTCCAGTATGTCAGTGCGAGAATTTATTTGCCCATAGTAAACTTGTTCTTGTATTCTGGGAAGCTCATCATTCATGGCATTTACAAGAGCTTCCTGCCCAGAGTAAATACAAAAAGGTCATTTAAGTTTGAACTGAAATTTTGATAAAGAGCTAGTAATTCATCATAATAGAAGTCAATGTTTGAAAAAAGAAAAAAAGAAAGATACATATAAACTATAAAGTACTAGATATAATAAATCATCTAAAAGAACTTAAGGCATGAAGTAATGTGCAAAATCTAAATGCAAAGAAAATAGCATACCATTAATTTTCCACGAGGAAAACCACATTTAAAAGCAGAATAAAAAAATTATACTGCCTGTTAAAACGGATTCATGAAACCTATATGCCTATTCAGAACTTCTCCAAAAAACCAATCAGCCCAAACACGTAGAGGGACACCAAATAGTTAAAAAACCACAAGTTAGGAAAGATATGTTGTGATTTTATAAATGAATGATATTGTACCTCACTAGAATCAAAGACAAGACCATTCATCAGTAGGCAGCACTGCAGCTTGCCCACACCCAGCTTAAAAACAAACAAAGAGCTCTCTTGAGACAGTTCCTTAAAAGTCTGTTCCTTTTCCAGCTTTAACAGTATTTCTTGCGGTGGAGATTTCGCTTTCGGTCTACAGAAACAACAGTTATATTGATTTAAATCAACCACATCTAAATCTCCTAAAATTTGCAGAGCATCAAATAGGGAAATATGATTAGCATGTGCAAGTAGCAAAAGTCAAATAAATCTTTTCAAAACTTACAATACTGTTTCCACAAATGCCCCTTCAATATGGTGCATTTCAAGAGCCTCATCCGTAGAGTCAGCAGATTCCATTCGTAGCCGATTTACCTATCACAAGAATGTCATAATTTTAGTTAACAATGCCAGAGTGCATCAAATTAGTAAATTGTGATACAACAGGTTCAGACATGGAAATAAAAAATATATATATATGCAAGGAGTGTCGTACACCCACTATAGTTCTCAAAATCATTCATAAATTTGAAAATTCTCCTTCATAGTAGAAAAGATAGCAATCCTAGCCTAATATAGAAAAGATTCACCAACTTCCCCTCACACATTCAGAAGCTTACTCATATATATATACTCTTATCTCATTTGCAAACTACATGTCATAAGTTTCTATATGCAAATTTAAATAGGGGTACAGCAATAATTGAAAGAGAAAAAGACGATTTTATAGCTAAGGATGAAAATTGTACCATAACAAGTTTAAGTTAGTCAAGGGCATATAATTGAACCTCAAACTTCTTTTCCTCCCCAAACAAATAATATTTCAAAAAATATTGAAGATAAACAACACAGGAACATTGGAATAAAGTCAATAGCAAAATCTACAGAGGAATCATCAATTTTACTCAAATCAACAGTCAAACATACAAACATAAAAAAGTTGGTGTAAATATCAAACCCCATACATTGTTCAAAAATTGAAAAGCTGATTGAGTCCCATGGTTTTCCTTAATATAGATGAAAAGTCGTATAATCTGCAAAACAAATTACAATCAACAATGTTTATTAGCAACATAAGTTGCAAACCAGAAGCTTCAATGATACTTAACACCAGAAAGAAGTGTTGGAATAACCGAAGAGAAACCATGGTTCAGCACAGATAACATCAAATTACACAAAAGGTAAAACAAATAATGTTTAGACTAAGTTAAGCAACTACCAAGCTGGATTTGTCGTCCTCAATTTCACTGTCATGCTCCAAAGCAAATGAATGAAGTTCACCACCACTCCCTTCAATCTTCTTAAAGAGCTGTGTAGAATATAGTATCACCCCAAATCTCATCGGGAAACTATTCTCATAGAAAGATGTAATCATATCGATAGACTGCAAGATTCCAGTTGGAAATTACAATAAGAAAAACTTATGTGAGAGAGATAATGCAATAAATGAGAGAGAGAGAGAGAGAGAGAGAGAGATCAAATCATCCAGAAGACAGAAGAAAACATGCCTGAAGACCACAAACTGTTGCCGGATCAAGAACATAAACTGCATGGAACAGATTCTTACGGATATAACGTAGCTGGCCGGGAAAGACAGGCATTAAAATCTGCACAAAATGTCATCAGAAGACATGCTTTTGAGCAACCATTAGCAGAAGCTCACAGATGCAGAACCATCATAGTCTTAAGAGAGATTTTACAATAAATTAACATACATCATTTATATTACTCCTCCATTGCCTATACATGGCATCCTCCTCCAAGTTATTGAGATAATGAACATGGGCAGAACGAAAATCAACTCGGAACATATCTGACTCAGGAGGAGTCACAGTTGATAGAAGCTTCCGTACAGTGCTATGAGGGATCTGAAAAATATTATAATTAATAATTTAATTGCATGCTGATATACATGCAACATATGCCAGAATGACCCAATAAGAAGCTCGTGTAACATGGAAGGTCTTCTAATACCTAGAACTAAAAAGACTCGTCAAATATATATAATTATTTAAGCATGCTAACTGAGCAGAAATAAGCACAAGAACAATGGTTAGCAAAATGACAGATAATCAATTTGATTTTAATTGTCAACAATAAATTAAACACATCATGCAGAACAGACTTATAACAGGAAGACTAGCACAACAATGGTTAGCAAAGTTACATACATGCATTTTTCATATGAAATTAATTATCCAAATCCTGATCACAAGAAATATCAGATATAAAATGTTTATTTTTTGTGGAAGCCACACAACAAATAGTTCTTCAAGGGAAAATCAAAGGCCCTCAGTTACCAAGATTTTTGGACCTGGTACTAGCTGTATTATGCCTTTTCTAAGTAACCAAGGATCAAGCAAGCCCTTACACTTATGCTTAATATGATCAACTACTTTTAGATATCAATTATGAACATCAATCTAGTTCTTTTTTTATTGCCCATAACTTGCATGTGAATGCACACACACATCTAGACATTCTGCTTCAATATTTACACTACTATCCGCTGTTCCCAAATGGTGCATTTTCAAACTTATTTGAACAAGGTAGAAAATGCACATCTTTGTTCAACTACAGCCAAACGGGGAATTAAAAGGGGAAAAACTGTTACTAATTTAGATATTCCACTAATAAGGTCGTAGATACTAAGCAAAATGAATATGATATAAAGGAGCATTTTTTAGTAGCTTTCACTGATCAATCAAACAAAATGGAATTTAGAATTATTCACCTTTAATTTTGAAAACTGATCAGCCAATGATAGTTCCTGATGGACCAAGTCAATCAATCTATGAAGAAAATTGCAAAAACATAATATCAGAAGTAATACTACATTGATCAAGATGCATCAAAGGCATTCAAATGATACTAAATAAAGAGCTAATGAAAAACTCTTGAAAGGGTGAAAAGCACCACTGGCAGTAAGAAATTCAACTATCATGACCCTAATTCAAGAGTGATATCCCTGGATTATGTCAAAACATTCAACACTATAAGGCTTTCAAAAGAATACATCACAAATGCAAACATCAGTCATTCCATGACAAGAGCCTAATGCAGCAGCGTAAATTGCCTTTGCTTCTAAGAAAGTCTTATTTAAATTAACTCTGCTTCATGATAAGATTTGTTTGATAGGATTCAAAATTTAGCACCGAAATCACAGCAGTGAACAATTAATTTTAATTTTGGAAGCACGAAATTTACATGATTAAAATTATTTCATTTAATTTTAAGAAATAAATGCACTCAAAACTGTTTGATAACTACAGCCAAAATCTTCAGGAATAGATGGGCCAAAGATAAATATTTCAAAATGTCATGAATTCTAAACAGATAAGATCTTCAGTGAAGAACAAAAGAAATAGTTATCCAAAACTAAAAGAAATAGGGGAGACAAAACATTACAGATAAAGGTCAATATCTTCGATATTGATTAAAGCACCATTCAGAGCCATTAAGGACTTGCCAGGAGGGATCATTCTCTGGTTTGCAATTATTTCATCTTTGATTGAATCATTGAGCTGCAAAATGCACAAATTTGTACTAAACATTGATTAGAAAAACCCAATTGGATACCTTAATCGGAAACAATATTAAAAATATTAAGAGCTACTCGAACATCAAGAGTGTCACTAAGAAGTTACCTTCATCCGAGATAAAGAAGATACTACACTTGGAAAATTTTGGTTGATTTCCTGCATTGACTGCAAAGGATCAGAGGCTTGTACTATTCTCTGTGCAGTTTGATGCCCTAAATCTGTTCAAGGGGGGAAATTTTTACAAATTTGAAGATTAGACATGTTATAACTAGAAGAAAAAAATCCTTAACTAAAAAGTACCTTTTAATTCCCAAACATCAAGTGTGTCTGATATTGCTGATGACAATAAATAATCCCTGAAAGCCATTATCTCAGAAGTAAGCTCAGGTTTTCGTTCCTGCAAAAGGAAATAAAAAAAATAACTTCAGGATGGCATGCTGCAGGTTGTATGAAAGAGAAAGACTTTTTGGTTTAAGTTTATTCATTTAGATTTTGTGGTTTAAATTGATTCATTTAGATATATGTCCATGTAACCAATGTTCTTTGAAATAGTTGTAACTTGTATTGGAAGGAAATAGGAACAAAAGTAAAGGTGAATTATATGGATAACAAACCAGAATTTTTGAAAATATAAACCCTCTAACTTCTTGGCTAAGATCTTCAGTCCGAGGATCTTCTAGTGTTACACCTGCAACTCAAACCCCAAGCTCTTAGATACCTCAAAAATCAAAGCAATAAAGCATGTGATTATGAAGCAAACAAGAATGCAAGCTAACATAAAAAATCCATGAATGTGACAAATCTTTTCAAGATATTCAAATTTGTAATAAAACACCATAGTCATTCCCATGATGCTATCATATTACAATTGAGAACTATAAAGAAGAATGAGATGTATTCATATAGAGCAAAACCTCAGAAAGGAAAAATTCAAGGATGAAAGTTTCCAAAAGAAACAGAACAAACGAGTTAGAACAGTTCCAAGACAATGGTGTCCATATTAGAGAGAACAATATCATTAAAGAAGAGCCATAAATAAGCCAAAAACATCAACCACTAGAAAATTGCTACATCTACCAATGAAATATCACAACAGAATTCAAGTGCAAAGATCCTTCCGGGCAATTGGATAGAAGATAAACACAAAATACATAGAAGCATTAAAAAAATAATACATGGAAAAATAAACCTATTGACAACAAATTGATACTAAGGTCATGCACCGAGCGCTAGCTTTTGAATTTGCAACTGCTCCATCAACAGTGCTAACCTTTCTTTATGGTACTGTCATCCATGGCTTTATACTCCATATTCTTCAAAGCAAGCTCTACACCATAGCCACCCAAGTGTAAGGAATCCCTTGCGCCAACAGCTCCACACAGACCAACTTCACCTTCACAACCAGAAGGTAACACTGGTCTGACAACATACTTAACTTTTCCCTGGACATAAAATGAGGTAAGTCAGATCATTTATAACAGAAATTGCACCAAAGTGTATGATATCATAATTCTTATAAAAAAGGTGAAGGGAAGTCAAGTAAGGGGAAAAAATGGTATGCAGATAGTACCAAGTCTGACCCTTAACATTCGGTAATTCAAATAAGCAATAAATGAATAAATTCAGGAGATCATCTGCACTGTCAGATAATATTGAGTCACAGCTCTAAACCAGTGAGGAAGGTTCCCACCAAGCACCAGATGGATCTGACATAGGTGCAAAGAGTGATTATGATCTATATATCTTCCTTTTCAAATAAGTTATTACTTCAAACAAAAGGTCTAAAGTATTGCAATTGTAATAGGTGCTTTACTTCAGATGATTTTTGTCACTTAAGATGTGATTAATACTGTTCATAAAGCAATAAAACTAACAGGAATGATCAATGTAAGGAAAATCAAATATGTTATCAGGTTTATAAGTAAAAGAAAATCTAAAGTAGAGAATGAGAAGGCAACAAACTAGCACTATAACAGACCTCTTTGGCAGCTCGAACTAGGGTAACATGGAACTCCTGAAAACAATCAGTCCCAGGAGCACCGTATAGAATAGCAACTGGGCTCACAATATTTGAATCAAAATGGATGTGATCAAAATCATATAATTCAGGCTGCTGAAAGGACTCTCCACTGCTGGCAACCAACAAATGAAAGTAACAACAGTTCAAATTATAAGCAACTTTTATCAGTTTCAAGGTTAAAAGGATATTTTAAAAAAATAAAAAAATTGTAAAGAGAAACATTACAGTTCATTAGGTCTCTGAAGCCAAGACTGCAGTTCTGCAATATCAAAAAATAATGCCCCACCAGTGTCCACCCAACAACATTTTCCACCAGGGCTTTTTGGATTTACACCAACAAGCAAGGGATCCGACTTTTTAGTTTCTATAGCTTCACTAGCATCCATACCGTTCACATTGTTCGAGTAACTATCATCAGACAGCGGAAAAGAAGAAAGAGACTCCTCTGCTAGTTGCCGGTAAAGCACCAATCTCGGTGAAGCAGATCTTAGAGTTAAGGAGAATTCAAATAACGATGCCAATGGTTCACTTAAAAGAGAGCTACCATGTTTCAAAATCTTTTTAAGGCAGTCTTTAGCCGAATGAGAATCACCATCAGTTTTTGCAACATGTTCCCAGTTGTCAATGAACTCCCAGAAAAGATTTTTTGACTCTTTCGAAAGTAATTCACTGTAACAATTGGAAAAGGATAAAGATATGGAAAAAAACAAACACTATACAGGTTGAAAGAAACTAATAACACCGACATACAGACAAAGAGACAACATCTTCCCATGATTACGCCACAGTAATAATTTCAATATAGACAAATAGTCAAATACCAACAGACATGAATACGAAAAAATATATGAATTCCACAACTAGAGAATCATAAACCCACTAAGACCAAATCAAAACAAGAATAACAAGAAGAAAGGGAACAAACCCGGCTTCCAAAAGCAATGGAGTGCCGGACCACTTAGCCCGAATCGCAATCTGAACGTTCTTCGGCCTCCGATTTTGAGCTCCAACAAAATTGAACCCACAAAATATTAAATAAGCAAGAGAGATCAAAATAAAAAACCGAGATCTAAAACCGGTGCCCATTCGGGTAAATCAAATGGGATTTTCCAATTGATTTCTATAGAATTTTGGGTGGAAATAGATCCAACATTGATGGGTGATTAGAGATGGGATTTGGGAGAGTGATGGTTTTTCGGTTTAGTAGGAAGTGAGAAGACCCAGGAGACGACTAGCGGAGAAGACTTCCTAATGAAGAGCCAGAAAAGGCCGGGGTATTAAGGGCTTTATCGTCCTTTTATAAAAAGCCAAGGTTATTTTCGGAAATCTCTAGTTGATATAGTTTTTTTTCTTTTCCCAAAATACCCCTGTTCATTTTTCTTTTAATTGATATATATATAATGTATTGGAAATTTGATGAAAATCTCTAATAATTGTAGGAGGTTTCTGCTGTTTGAAAATCCACTCAGTCAATGACAAATAATAAAACTATTGATACTTCGAAAACTAGAACAAAGAATTTAGCAGGCAGGCAACCATGGGCTGCTCACGGCATTGGCTGAACAGAATTGGACGAGCAACACTAGGCATTGTCTGCTTCAAACAAAAAGGTTGGCATTAAAGGCAGCATCCTAAATGGCACATTCTTGTTGTTTTGCAATTCTCATCTCTCAACCAATGCAGAGCCCTTCATTTTTCACTGCTCTCACGACCAGTGAACAAGTTTCAACCAATGATGAATAACAAACACACACACACGGTGTTTTATGCATCACGGAGCAATCTGCTTCTCACACACAAACAGAAAAGCAATGCTCTACTGTTTCTCCAGCTTTCCCCCTTGAACCAGCTTCAACCTGTGTAAAAGCTGACTGCCTACTGTTCTGTGAAGCTATTGAGCTTGCTCCATATTATTTGTAACACTAGGCTTTTATAGCAGTTCTAACGTATGAAAGGTTACCATTCATTTTTAAGAGAAAACAAACAATAAAATAAATATAGAGACTTCAATAAACTGAAATAAACCCCAAATCCACTATAAAATATGACAGAAATCCATACAAGGCTACAAGCTGGAGCTAGTATACAAGGACTATACAAAACCTATATACAGAACAGATAGCATGACAAAAAGAATGGAATGTTTGAAATCTTTGCGCATTGAGAACCCACTGGAGTCGTTATCTCTCTCCAATGACCTGCAGTGCACATAGCTGTCAGGCTTGCTACTTCACTACAATGATAAATGGTTTTTCAAGTCCAAGTTATCATTAAAAAAGGAGGAAAAAAATCAAAATGAGCAGGATGTGCGAGGTGTTGGAGAAAGCAGATAGATAAACCCAGTATATTTACATTTCAATGCATCGAAGTGAAGCAAGATCCTAGCTGCAACTTAAACTTTCATTGTTCTACAAAAAAAATAATAATAATAATAAAGGGAAAATAGAGCAAAAACGCTTCAGCTGATTAGAGCATTTTCCAGATTCTCCCGTCACCCCAATCTTCTTGCTTGGCAGCCAAATGTGATCAATGCTTGTTTCGTGGAAGCTGATGAGTGATGACTAGATAAACCAATCTAATACACATCTTCATATCTTCATTTATATCAATGAGTCTTTAAGCCATCCCAACTTTTCTTACACAACATTATAGCATTGCAATTCTATGACTATGAAAGAATAATTTGACTCAAAAAAATAAAAACTAGCTGGCTAGGACCTGACTTAATATTTTTCCAGACTTCTTGTAGGAAAAGCCTATCCAGGAAGGAAGCATCCTCCTCAAACATGTCTTCTGCTTCTCCACATTCATTTAGTCAACTACAAATAGTGATGAAGACTACAAACATTCCAGATTACCTGAGCATGTCTCCTGCATGCAGTTGTGGCCCACTTAATGCTGGTGAGATGCTGAAAGCATTGCCGTCACCACAAAATGAAGGGTGCCCTAGAGGCATTGGTCGATCTGGAATTGGAGGAACTTCAATATCGCCTTCTAACATTTTCAGTGCATCCAAAATGGTAGGCCTTAAAGCTACCATTACATGAGAACACAAAATCCCAACCTGCACAAATCTCTCCATTATAGCCTTTGGATTTGAATTCACAGAATCCCCATTATTGATCAAGGACCGGTCCAAAGCCTCCTCTACTTTTCCTGCCTTCACCAATGACCAAGCCCAATCAGTTATCAAAAATGCACGTGGTGAGCCTGATGAAGACAAATCAAGAGCTTTTCTCCCACACATTATCTCCAAAACAACCACACCAAAACTGTAAACATCACTCTTCTCAGTCAGTTGCCCATAAAGAGCATATTCAGGGGCCAAGTATCCATGAGTTCCAGCCACTCTAGTAGTGAGGTGAGACTGACCTTCCCTACTCTGCTTCGCCAACCCAAAATCTGCCACTCTTGCTCTCATATCAGCATCAAGCAATATATTCGTAGCCTTTATATCTCTATGATATATTGCAGGCTTCACTCCATAGTGCAAATAAGCTAACCCCTTTGCCACATCCAAAATTATGTTCTTTCTGTGAGGCCAACTCAATGGTGTACTTCCCATTTTTGATGGGAACAAATGGTCATCAAGGTTTCCATTTGGCATATAATCGTAGACAAGATACCTTTGACTCCCTTTCTCATCATAATTTTCGTCATCATCGATCATACAACACCCTCTAAGAGGCACAAGATTCCTATGCTTCAAGTTGCTAATAATCTCAACCTCATTGCAAAACTCTTCATCTCCTTGAAACTCTGATTCTATAATTCTCTTAACAGCGACCACTGTCCAATCTGGTAAAACGCCTTTGTAAACAAAACCGAATCCCCCTCTCCCTATAAAATTCTTCTGCGAAAAATTATCCGTAGCCTTCTCAAGATCATGAAGTTTGAACCAAATCGACCCTGTATTAGGCCTCAATTTTGGCCTAGACCCTTGCTCCTCTAAATCATCAAAATTAGAATCAGAGCCACTATTATTCTTCTTTGTAAATCTTTTTGTATACCAAAAGTAGGACCCCAATAAACTAAACGTAACAAAAACAGCAACCCCAGCTCCAATCAAGCCAAAAACAAGGACTGAATGTCTTTCACTGGCTGAACTAGATTGCTCATTCAAAGTTAATGCAAAAGCACATTTCACAACCCCATTACTTTCAGGTCCAAGCTCATTAACAATTCCAGCAGCATAAAGAACAACAAAATGAAAACAATCAGTACTGTGAGTTTCATTACCATCAATAGAGACCAATCTAGCATGAACTTCGTTACCAGCACGAAGACAAGTATCACAAACAGTAAGATCATTGAGATCAGAACTGCAACCGTGGTCAAGTGCAGTCGATTCCCCCAGCTTGGCAACCCAATCTTGGGTTGTTTGTATGTTGGCACAAACGTTAGGTGTAATCACAAACTGCATAGGTTCAAAACAAAGGGAAACGAGATTACTAGGAAGAGAAAGAGAGTTAAGCTTTGACTGGAAATCTTGGAGGCAAGAAACAGAAGTGGGCAAATTTGGTAGATGAAAGAGAGATGTTTCTTTAAGATGTACGGCAAATCCAATACCCAAGACCGATAATAGAGATGTGCAACAGTTTTCTTTTGCAATTTCAGCTTTGGAGGTTGAGCTGGGGTGGAAGTTGTGGCAAACAGAGTTGTTCCACGGGATTCTTGTGACATAGTTGAGGTCCATTGGACATGTTGCAGATGCGTTGGTGGAAGCTGGAGATGAGGCAGCAACGGTAAAGGAAAGGGCAGATAGGAAAACAAGACAGACAAGCTCTGAGCTAATCTTCATTTTCTGTCTATGCATTTTTTTTGGTACAAGATCGATAGATTTTCTAGTCAGGGTTTTGGTTTTCCAGGAAGGGAAAGATAAGGGTGATGACACCAGGAAGCTGCAGATATTCAGGACTGATCTGTTGGTCAAACGCCCTCTATTTCACTCCTCTTTGGCTGCTGGATTTTGTTTCTACTTTCATCCTAGGCACGTGCCAACTCACACCAGCAGAGGAAAAGGGCTTTGATTGAGCGTTCATTACACGCCATTTAATGCATGGTGATCGAGAAGGATTCATAGTCGGCATTTACAAATTTGTCTAGGATTAATATCCTCAAATTTCATTTCCCTTCAAATTGTTGCAAAGGATATGATGTTCCAAGCTGAAGCCAGTAAGTCATGGAAGATTTTAGCAAGATTTTTTATTATATAAAACAGTAAACAAAAATATCTTTTAATAATATATAACAAGACAGTGACTGATACCAGCTTTCTACAAGTTTCAACACAATCAAAATGACATTTGACCACATGATTAATTCGTTGAATTAAGTAAAAAAAAAGAAGTTTACTTGAACCTTATCTCACATTTGTACTTTGAATAATTTATTTACATTACGTAGGAGAAGAAAACAAGGAGAAGCCAAGAGAGGACAGTAAAATTTGAGAATAAAATTAATCTTAGGTTTTTTAGGACTGCAAAAAACTTGAAAATAAATTTGATAATTTAAAATATGATATAAAAAATAATATAATTTAAAATTTTAATAAAAATTAAATATAAATTTGATATAAATTAAAAAATATATATTTTATATTTGACATATTAATATAAATTATAATACAATAAAATTTAATATATATTTAATATAAAATAAATATAATATAAATATATAAAAAAAATAAATTATTTGAAAGGCAGCAGATGGTTACTTTGGTTTCTTTCGTTTTTAATTTTATTATTAAATTTTTTAGGATATGATGTACATTTAATTAATGTTTGGTGTATAAATAATAGATAAAATAAAAAAATAATTATCTTATATTATATTTAGTTTATATTTGAAATATATATATAAAATTATAAAAAAAATTAATCATCCTCTTGATATAAGATAATTTAATAATTCAAAAAATAAAAAAATTATTTTTAATTCGTAAAATTGAATTTACATGTTATTGTTTTAGTAAAAATAATTTTGATTAATAAATAAATTATTTTATCTTAATTCTTACACATATTAAATATAAAATAAATGATATTATTTAATCTAATTTTATTTATAATATTATTTTATTTTGTTATATTATAATCTTAAATATCAAAACATTCTTAAGCAAAAAGAAAATATTGACTCTTCAACATTTATTTTTCATGATGACAATCATGGAGCGGAAAAGCAATACGTCACCTCTAAATATCTCATTTCGTCTAAGTTATTTGTATTTGGTTGAAAATTTGTTGATAACTTACTTTTTGCACCAAAAGACATTTGACTTTTAATCAGTGTCTATTTTGTTTAACTTATAAAAGGAAAAACACTTACATTTGAAAATATATATTTATTCAAAACTTGAATAATATTAACTAGCAAGAAAGACTGGATTATCATATTTTTTCGAAATTGACTAAATTATTATTTTAATAACAGATTCAATGCATATTCAAGAGTAGTAATTTAAAATATTATAAAAATAAAAAATGTTAAAATGTTTTATCCTCTATTATTTCACGTTTAAAATAAACTTGGATAATATTAACTAGCCGTCGGGATCCCTTGGCTGAAGGCTCTCACAGGTTGCTCCCTTTCAGTTCCTCTCTTAGGAGGGGAAACAACGAGCATTCATTTTAATGTGATCATTTATCCAGGATATGAAAAGGTCATTCCGAGCCGAGGCATGTCCAATAAATAGGGAAGGCAATCTAATCCAAATTCGACGAATTCTGATTAGATCTAATTTTTTAAGATGAATTTATTTTTTTAAATCAAATATTACGCCTGATCAAATCAAATAATAATAAAAAAAATCAAAATTAAAATTTAAGTAAATTTGACCTCGTATATATATATAAATTATTTATTTAATTTTATATATTTATATATTTATTTAATTTTATATTTATATTAAAAATAATATTTTATATTTTTTAAAAATAATATTTTATTAATTTCAAATCAAATCAAATCAGATACAATTTTATACAATATCAAGTTGGATTAAGTTTGAATATAAAAAAATAACAAAAATAATCGGATCGAATTTAAATTTTATATATAAGGTCAGGTTAGAGTGAGAAAAAAATCCGACCTAATCCGACTCGTTATCATCCGTGCGACAATGGCAAAGAAGGAAAGCGGGGTGACTTGAAAAACACATTTTCTTATCAACTTTCTCACAGAATTGACAGATCAACAACGCTCAGAAGCGTGTAATATATTAGCAGATTTCTTGATTGATCATCAGTCAATCCCCTCATGCATTGTAATCTTTTACAGGATGCAAAAGCCAAAATATTATTCTCTTAAATATGATACTTTTTATGTGATTGGGACAAAGTAATTCTTTTTGCCTCACCTTTTGTGGAAGTAAAATGTGAAAATATGATAAAATTTTCATTTTATTCAGATAGCTAACTATCATCTATATATTCCTGAATCACATTATCACTATAAAAATGAAAAGGATGCAAGTCTTCAATTCTTCATACATATGGAGATCACTATACCAAAAAGATGGGCTATGTAAACATATTAATTTTAGAAAAAGAAATAAACAAAACAAAAAACGTGTTCGGTGGCATACCATTGAAGAATGACAAGGGATCAAGGCACGCCCCAAAGTGACAGTTATATCTGTACAATTTCTGTTAAGTCAAGGACTGGAGTTCTTTATCGGAGGAGATTGCCGAGAAAGAAAAGGAACATCCACCACTGTCCCAATAATATTTTCTCCAACAATCACAGTATCTCCAACTGCAGCTGCTTGCCTCTTGATGTAGCCTAAAGCGAAATGGTCAGATTCCTTTCTTCCACTTGTATAGCTTGTCAGCTTTCCCACCTGCAGGAATTTAAAGAATAGCTTTGTGTTAATAGTTCCCAAGAAAACCTAAACTATGAACCATAAATGAAGAAATTGCCTCTTACTTTCAATATATGCATGTATTTCAATCTTACAGATAACTTTAGAGAAAGAGACAGGCTAGAACCTTTTTCCCATTAACCGTAATTGGGCAGCCAGGTTCTGCTGGTGCTGACAAATGAATTCCCCATAACCTCTGTTTAACTCCATCATATGTAATGAGTCTTGATATTGTCTCTTGTCCCTTATAACAGCCTAAGGAAAGTAGAGTTAGATAAAGCATCTTTGTAATTTTCTTAGCAGATATTCAATGGTAAGGATTAGTTACCCTTGTTCAAAGAAATTGAGTTCCAAAGACCAGCCTCCAGAACATTAAATTCATTAGTGAGCTCCTTTTCAGGAGCTGGTCTTCCTGCAAAGTTAAGTTAGATTTTCCTAAGAACTTGTTACAATTATTTGGGAAGAATTAAAAAAAAAGCCCAATTAAATCACAGAGCCACTCAATAACAGTTTTCCTAGAATAATATTTTAACATTAGTAACAAATGCTCAAAACACTTCACTACGAGCGCACTTAGCAAGCACTAGAATTTGATATTCTACATTGTGCAAATAAGTAAATCACGTAAGTCATGACAAGCCAACAAATCAAGAATCACCACCTTGTGTAATCCTTAGTTTTTCCCAGGCATTAGAACCCAATGGAATGGCACCCTCAGATAGAAGAGCTTTCCAGACTGATCTGGCTGATGCTAGTGAAATCAACAAAGAAAAACCTTCTTCAGAAATGATATTTCCCACCCCAACAGTTAGAGGCATACCATTCACCTGAAATTGGATAAATATCCTATTTTTTATTCTCTAAAATAAACACTAAATAAAATAAATTTTGACTATTTTCCTATCACTATTTTGACATTAAAGAGTCTTACAAGTATAAAACTTACCTCATAATACAAAACACAAAGATGCAGAATAGTCCAAGATATACTAAAATTTACAACTTGATGTTGAAAGAATATAGAGATCTTACACTATAATGTCGATTTGTGCCATATGGTTGTCCAACAAGATCCATGAGATTCAAATTAGCCATCACCTGTTTGCCCATTACAACTAAAATCATTAAGATTATGAAATCAAAAAAATAAATAAACAAATAAAGAGCAATGCCATGGAAGAATAACAATTTATAGAGCATTCCTTACTTGGGCACTTTTCGGACCTGCTAGAGCAAACAAGCAAGTTTGCTTGGTGATGTCTTGAATCTCTACCTTATCAGCGAAGAATATATACCTGCAAAAGAAAAGCTAAGCACCACAGAGCTAGCTGTCTACTTTTATTTTTCTACTTCTTGACAAAGCTATGCAAAAGGCAAAAAAGCAATGAATGAAAGGATCTCCAAGAGGCTGATGCACATACTTATTGAGCATTTCAGTTATGTTTCCACAGGTCTCTGGTGAAACCATCAATATAACTGCTTTTTTCTGTGAACAAAAACAACAGCCTAGTAGTCAAAGAAATCAACTAGAATCAATCAATTCCTAAAATGGCAAACTAAAATTTATTAGAAATAGTAACTAAGACTACCATAATCCACGCATAAGCAATATCAATTGTCCTTGCTGTTGGCGTAACGAAAACTGTATCACATCCCTATGAATTGCAATTGAACAAAATACAATCAATTTGAACCAAATGAAGTAAAAAAAAAAAAAAAAGAAGCAGAAAAAGAAGGTATATAAATATATATATATGCATACGTATATATACTTCAACCCAAGAAACACACACCTGCCCTTCACTAAGACATTCAAAGTTTGCAGTGGTTTGGTTGTGAAGAAACTGAATCCGGTCATCTCCACTGACTTCAATAATTCAATCCATTATATACAAATTTCATTAGAGTAAGTAAACCTCAAATGAAGTGAAGTGGGAAACAAGCAGAGATACCAACCTCTTATCCTTCCAAAATGAGACAGGTCCATAACCTAAAATGCCATCAAATCAGAAAAACAAGGAAATTGAAGACGTTGAATTTAAAGCAGAAACGATAAATAATGAGTTGGAAATTGAATTTAAACTAGAAACGCACCACCACCCCATTATCTAATGCATCCAAAGCTTCATCATCATTTTCAAATGTTTCTATTATTCCTTCCTCTGAAACCCTTGCTCCTTCAGCTGCAACTGTGTCCTGTAAAGAGTCGAATTAAAAATCCCACAATCATCACTTCTTCTAAGGGAAAGAAAAAGGGGGTGCGGGTAGGGAAGGAGGAGGATATACTAGGAAGTCGTGATCGATAGGGGGAGGGGAGAGTTCGAAAGGTAAAGCTGCGATGGTAGAGATTGATTTTCTCGATGAGAGCTTGTTCTTGTTACTCTTCTTGGTCGAAAACGTGGCGTCTCGGTAAAGGAGAGGAGCGGCTCTGGAATATTCCAGGCGAGCGGTGAAACGGCCGACCAAGTAAGCCACGCAAGGCGCTGCCGTCACCATTCCTTCCTTTTGTTGCAGCTGCCGCCGTCTTGGATGCGAAAAATGCGGAAATTCGAACTAAAAGACAGAGGAGATATCTTAACCTCTGCTTCTCAAAATAAAAAAATTATTATTAGTAACTTTATAAAAGAAAAATAATAAAGAGTTCGAACATATGATAATCCAAATAATTCAATAAGTCACATAAAATTTTTATTCTTAATTTTTAAAATTCACACATATTATCAATTTTTATCTTTTTATGTCGATTCACCTTTGAATCAATAGATATATTGTTAGAGTTTATTTTAGATGATATGAGTTTTAAATAATTTATACATGTGATTTTTATTATAATAAGATAAGTAAAGAGATTTAATTTATATATTATTATTAGAATGAACCTTTGAAAATTACGAACTTAAATGAAATTACATATATAATTATTTTTTAGATCGGATAAGTATAATAATAAGACTTTTGAGGATAGATTAAGAATTAAAAAAAAAAAAAAAACAAATCTTTTACAAAATCAAATTCAGAACGATATAGCCTTAGGTGTCAAATTTTTTAAGAAAATGATTGTTAATATTGTAAGAAATAGTTCATTATTGCCAAAGATTTTCCTGGCTCACTTCTTAATGAATTCCCAAATCCAATACAAAAGATAATTAATTTGGCGATAATGCATGCTTTCCGTGAGTAAGCTTTCTTTAGTTCCACTAATCAAGCAGATCGCACCTTGTTTAGCTTGTTGTGAATCTGGTCTTCTCTTTCAAACTAATGTCATTATTATGTAATCCCTTCCTTTCTCTCTCTAATGCATCCATACCGGTCGTCTTACGCAGGATATAGCCTACTGAAGACATGGAAGGTTTCATGGACAAAGGTCGATGAAAATGGTTCCAAGGTGGAAAGTTTCACGTGGACCTACACCAGTGTTCAACCTGAGGAATCGCATCGACTTGCAATTATATTCTCTTTCTAACAAAATTTCTCCCTTTCATGTATCAAGAGAAATAGATTTGTGGCTCGTCATTTGATCGAATTGTCATGTTTGTAAATATTTCTCAGCAAAATGTTAAAATTTTTTATGTGCTGATGTATTTAAATATTGGAAAGCTGCAACCAAGTGGTGTGGTGGCGCAGTTGGCTAGCGCGTAGGTCTCATAGCTTCTGAGTAATCCTGAGGTCGAGAGTTCGAGCCTCTCTCACCCCAACACTTATTTTTCTTTTCCCTCTTAAATCCTCCTCCAGATCATGGGTTGAAAGACCCAACATAATCCAACTTTGAATATCCGCCCAACCGCAAAACATTTGCTTCCGATGGTAGTAAAAGGAAATCAAAAAATTGATTGACAGTGGCACAAACAAATATAGACAGGCCCTATCCCATATCGTGCTTCTTGTGACTCCCTGCCCTGGTGGTACATTTAACAGACGTTTGAGCTTAATTTGTGTATTCACCGTCATGAAACCTTATCTCTTTAAAGCAAATCCCCGACCAAACTCTATGGTTTGGGTGCTTTCATTCTGATGAAAACAACAAGATTTTGGAACTGCGTCGCTGTTCTAGAATCTAGATCCTCTTGTGAATCTCATCTTAAACTTGGGTCTATACTATTGTCGTTCTTGTTCTGTTTATTCGGCAAATTGGTGCAACAAGACACCAACAAATCTTGTTTTTTCCCCGTACTGACTCTTAAAATATTGTACTTGGAGATATGTAGAGACTGATTAAAGAAAAGTTACTACTACATTACAAATCGAAGGACAGCAGTAGCGCTCCACATAATATTACAAACGTTGATACAATTCACATTACTCGAGTAAACACTTCATTATTATTATTATTATTTTATTGAAACACTGACTGCCTGGTGCAGCCTTCTTGAAAGCCAAGATCATTACTGCTACCGAAATAGTACCGCTGCATCGTCCTTTAACTAATATACATAATTAAGCCTGGTACAAGTTCATTGGAGGGACGATTGTTGTGCCAGTTTCCATCATCCGCCTGAAATGTTGATTGAGTTCCGGGGTTACATTAAGGCTGGCTTGCAGAATTGAGGGAATTGTATTCAAAACGGAATTTTTACCAGCTAATTCTCCGGTGACAGGTCTGCAAACAAATTGCAGGAATGATGTATATATCAAGAATAAAAGTGATTTATTAATTTTAATTGTTAGAAAAAGATTAGGAGGAAGAAAATAATTGCTCACCGTGTAGATGTTACAATTGAGACCAACTCAATTCCTTCTGCATCGGCTGATATGGTAACCATGAAAAGTTTTGGCACGACGAATATTTGGCCATTCTCAACTTTGGTGTTCAATACAAGCTTGCCTTGCAGACCTACAATCTGTACTTTACCACTTCCTTTTGCAACGTAGTAAACTTGTGCATCAGATGCATATGCTGGTGCCCTAGTGGCACTGGTTTCAAGTACTAAGTGAGTGACATTAAGCCCGACTTGTTCAAGAAAAGGAAATTTATTTCCTGTCAGGGTAGTAGATTTGCCACCATTCTTGACTTGAACATCAGGAGATGCACCATCGATGTTCTGGGTCCAAATGTTTACTACGTCGTAAGGCTTCGGGATGCCTTCTGCTTCTTCTTGACCAAGCTTGATGATCAAAACACCCTTTTGGCTATCGGCAAGTTTTTGTGCTTTTTCTACATTGACATGGTAAGTTCTAGCAATAAATTCAGGAGAGAAAGCTGCCAAGTGACCCTGAGGTCCTGTTAATAAGAAGTAGGTAATTTCACCAGAAACATAGGCCTCAGTAGCATCACCCAAGAATACTATAACCACATCAGAATTTCCATAATTATACCACCACGAGACTGATGCAGAGGGAACTGGTATAATGTCTCCTTTCTTAAGACCTATGAAAGCTGTCTTATCTATTGTGTTGGCTGGTAATGTCAATCCAACTGCACAGTTACCTAAGAAAAATTAAGATCATTAGAGTTTATGTGAGACCTCCTATTGAAATATTATTCAATAATATACGTTTGAGAGTTTCTTATATGTGATAAACATTTGTTCACATTTTACGTGCTTGTAATAATGAAACGAAATTAATCATGAAAATCGAAATATAAAGAAAGCAAACAAGCTTTAATAACTGATTCAGGCATAAATCACAGTTTGTGGCCCAAAACTAAAACCCAAGACTCACCCTCAAGAACATAACCGACTTTGGAGCAATCCGCATAATGGGGAAAAGCGAAGCCCCGAGGCCTCAAAACAAGCTTACCAGCTGCAACTTTGGCCTCACCGAGCGCTGGAGAGTCGGCAACTGCCCAATTGTAGTATCCACCGCTTTCTGTCTCAGCGAACGTTCGGGGAAACTTGGGAGATAAGTCCATATTCATTTCTTAACTTCCACTTCCTTAATTCTGCAAATTCAGAATACTTTTATGTATAGCAAATACAAAGAACAGATAGAAATGTATGCATGCCCTTTTCAATCTGGTTAGAAATCTCTGGCGGAGTTCAACTTGTATATATAGAGAAGTTAGTTGCAAAATGTCAGCAGCTTTCTTCAACGCGTGAAAGAACTTCGTACAGTGATTGTTAACAAAATGAACTTTGCCGACGTCCTAACAGCTTTAACTTAAAAAATCCGTTGAATTTTCAAGGATTTGATTGATGGAAGAGTTTGAAACTTGGATTCGAGAAGAACACGCTAACCATATCCAAAGTAATTAATGCATTGAGAAAACAGGAACATTTTGCATAATTTTAAGCTGTTAGGTATAAAACCTGTGCGTAGCTTGGAAGATGGAAATTAATAGAAGCGTTTTTTCTTTTTTTTTTTAAATATTTTGGAAAGAGTGAAAGGGCAATTTTTATTAACATTTATAGAAAGAAAACTTTTAACTGACGAAACAATCGCTTTTAAATTTAGATTTTATTTAAATAAACGATGAAATTAAAAATAATAATAAAATTTATTATAATTATGATTAAAAAAATTAATAAAAAATTTATGTTAATTTAATTATATTTAAATTAATATTTAAATTTAATTAAAAATAATAAATTTAATCATATTATATTAAAAATATAATAAAATCCAATTGGGACTTCCAATGGTATACAGTATTGCTAATTATGAGACTCATAATTTCACGTGACAAATAAAATCAATTAGCAGTTTGGGCCCTCCATGACAGACTTTAAATTAAAGAGTTGCCCCACTAACTATACAATATTTAGTATGTTCCAATGATGACATAATTCACAGGTTCGACCGCTCTGCGCCTTTCATGGCTTTGTTTCGGTTGCTTCTCATTTTCAATTACTAAACTTTAACTTGGGTTATTGTTTTATTTCTTACAAAAATTTTCACCTATAAACCTTATTTAATACGTCAGTCCAAATTATTGATGTGTTTCTCTTCACCATTTACAAAGTGTTGATAAAATTTTTGAATATAGTTTTGAATTTTTTATAAAATTAATATGATATGATTTTTAATATTCAAAATAAAATATATAAAAGAGTTTTAGATGTTCAAATTCAATGCATCGTCAAGAAAATAACTTTTGTTTATTTTTGGAGATCAGCCTAACCACGTGTAAGAACAGAAGGAAAAGTTAAAATTTTTGGATGAGAGGACAAAGACAAAATAAAAGAAAAGTCACGGGTGATGAACAAAATTGGCAAAAATGAAAGAGAAAGTTGGGGAAAGAATAAAAGAAGAAAAAGATAACGGTTGAGAGTTTGAAATAAAAGGGATAAGTGATTGAAAAAACCATTCCGCCTGCTCACATGCAAAATATTTTTTCTTTCGCTTACAACTTTTATACCTCTTTGACTCTCTCTCTCAAACTTCTATCTAATTTCGACAAGTTATTTTCATTTTTTTATTTCTCGACAGTCCATTTTTCCCTTTGAACATAACGTGTCTGCAAATTTTATTTAGAATGCCAGCTGGTTGTTTCAAGCAACAATGCTTCTTGGATTTTTGTAAGAGATTCATTGTCTTAATAATTGCTTGGTTGATTTGTCGAAAGCAAGATTTTTAGTTTTAGTAATCAAATTTAAATTTTTATAATTTAAAAAAATTATTGAATTAATTTAAAATTTTTATTAAGGATATTAATGAATAAAGTATAAAATGTGTAGAGTATTTTTTATTTTTATTTTTAAAGTTTTATATCATATAAAATTTTTTAATCATATTCAATGAATATTTTAATTTTAATTTTATTTTTATTTTTATGAGTATTTAATGAGTATGATAATTTTTGTACAAGTAATTTAAAAAAAATAAAAATAAACATTTATTTGTTTACTTTTTATTTTATTTTTCTATTTATATAAAATTTTATTAATATATATTAATATATACTTTATAAATAAAATATATTAAATGTAATTAATTTAAAATTAAAATATATATTATTTATAATAATATTTTTTTTTACTAAATATATAGAAATATGTATAAGATATAAGACAGATACTATATTATCATTTTTATTTTTCATATCCGATAAAAAAAATTAAAATTAAAATTATTTTTATTTTAAATTTTAATATGCAGCTCCATTCTCATTTACATAAAAAAAAAAAAAAATCAGCTTCCTCGTTAAGTACTTTTTTTAGAGTTAATTAATCATAAGCTTGGCGCATGTAACTATCACCCTTTATAGGAAACCTGTTGTGAGTAAATAAAAACAAAGGAAAGCTAATTGCATGGTTGTTGACAACTTGACATGTTATAGCCCAATTCAGGGAGGCTTACAGCTTTGCAAAATAGATACTCTCATCTATTCACATATAAATTTTGATTTTTATTTTATGCAAATTTTTAAGTCCATATTCATTGGCAATTCTGTGCTTACTTCGCCGAACAATACGTAGAACATAGTATGGGAGGCAATGGATCAATTTAGACCATAATTATTAATTTTCTTTCGGCACTAATCGTATTGTTCGGAGTGTTTTAGTTATATTAAAATATAATATAATTTAAAATAAATTCTTTTAATTTAGTATCGGCTAATATCATTTGTTTCAATGAATTTTAGTAAAATAATATATTACAATCGTAAATATGAAATATATTTTATAATTTATTTATTTTTAATTTAATAAAAATAAAATTAATTGATAAAATAATTTTTAAAAGTTAAATTTTTTATACTTTATTTTTTCAAATCAAAGTTTATAATTTTATATTTTATTTTTTCAAATCAAAGTTTATAAGTATTTCAATTTTTTTCAAGAAACAATTATAAGTTTTTTATAAAGTTTAACAATCATAAGGCTTTGATTAATTTTTTTTATTTTTTTATTTTTATCTTAATATTTATATAAAAATATTTATTTAAATATCATATGATCAGATTAAGTATTTAAAAATATTATAAAAATTTTATGATATTATTTCTTATATTTTTAAACTTATTTATTTGAATTGAATATATTATATAGTTATTTTATGGCTTATTAATAATATTATAATAGATAAATTTATGTATGTTTATAAATATATTTATGTTAAATCAAAAAATTTAAAATAATATATTAAAACAATTGGTATCGATATATAATATATTTTAAAAAAATTTAAAACATTATCTGATATAATATTGACAACCTTGATTTAGACACTCAAAATGATTGCTCTATAGCTAACAGTTTAATCTAGTTAGAAACTCTGAAGCTTGATTCTTGAGCTTTACAGTGATACGCTTTCTAGTCTTGTATAGATAAGGATGCATTTAACTACAAAATTAACCACGAGGTTTTCATTCTTATTTTCATCGCTTTCAGAGCAAATTCATCAACGACCAATCGAAACGATGACAAAGGAAATGACAGAAAACCTTGTACTATTATCATAGTATTTGACTTTGCTGCTACATAGTCCTGTCTCGCGAGCGAAACGTAGAAGCTGGCAATGATAAAAGGCCGGTGTCTGCACAATTTCTTAGAGCTCGAGCTTTGCAAGAGTACTTGTCTCTAGTGTTGGGACCAAAGCAATGCTTTTTTTTTAAAACACATTAATAATGATTTTAATGTGCAATAAACAATGTAAAATCATCAATGGAGTAAACAGGTTTCAGCTTTAAGTAAAAATTACAAGATTCTTCCCTTTCTCAAATTCCTGGTAATTCTAATCAGAATAATCCGTAAAACAATTAGGCCATTGACAGGGATTTTGCGCTTCTTTTTCCTTTTACTTTGTATTAGTCTTGTGATAGATTTTGGGGTGAAAACGAAAAAAATAAGACAATGGTAAGCAATACGATCTTGCAGAAGGAAAATTATTTAAATCTGAAACTTAATTCAAATGTTTCATGTAATTACTTTAAAAAATAATATCTAATAAATTTAAAATTTGAATCTTAATATTTGAAACTTTTTCGGATATTTCCAACAAGCTTAGGAAGAAATTTGACTATGTTTAAAATGTATTCTATCTCTATTTACCTTACCGTTTTGTTGGCAATATTGCAAACTTGGGATATGATTTGCCCTTACACCAAAGTAATTTTTTTTTTTTTTATGGTATAAAAATGAAAAGGAATTATTAATACAACAAACAAACAAGAAATGTTTTGTTTTCATGCGCCAGTTTGTCCTTAGAACACCAAGACACCATCTTAAGCACATCAATTGTTTTGTTGCATGACATTCTCCAAGGTAGAATTAATATAAAATAAGGAAAAGACAAGATTAAATAGAAATATAAAGAATATCCCATTGAGCTACAGCATTGTGAGCAGCGATTTTGCCTAAACTACAACCTTGTTCCAGTCGTCAATGGATATTTAGAAACCGTCAATGTAGCAATTCTCAAGACCAAAGCCATTTCCTTCATTACTTGTATTCAGATTGACAAGCACAAAGCTATCAACAAAGAGAAAAAAATGGTGTCTCAAACGGATTCAGTCGCAAGAGAGAGTGTGATAGTTGTGATGGATGCTAAAAGAAACAAAGGAATGGCGGGTGCGCTTGACTGGGCTCTTAAACACGTTGTTCGTCCGAAAGACACCGTGATTGCCATCGGAGTTATAGATGATATAGTAAAGAAGAACTCTTCTTGCTTTCCAATTAACATAGGGATCAGAATGTCTGGAATATGTGAGCTTTTTTATTTCCCACAAACTTTCTCCTTTTGCTACTCTGATTGAATAGAAAGGATTGCTCAAAGATGCCCTTTTCTAATAAGCAGTTAATATGTAAATGTGATAGGCAAGGTGATATAATCCACAGACGAAACTTAAATTTTAGAGGAAAATTACTCACCTGAAAGCCAATTTGTTATGCAAAACCTATGAGTATTGATACATTAAACATGAGTTCTTGAATTGTTTCTCCTAATCAGTTGACAGTAAATTTAACAATGTACTGAACCCAAAATTTAACTCAGTTCTCATAGTCAGATGCTGGATGGTATTCAAATCCCAGCATCTACAATAACTTTTCTCATAATTAAACAGAAGTCTCATTTGTATAAAAAAAATTAATAACGTAACTATAGTGAAGTACAATGTTACAAGTGCTCTCTATATATCATAGTCTCAAAGGTTTAATTGCATATTGAAGACTGAAAAATAAAACAGGAGTAAAAGTTAAGCATCCGGCTTGCCATTGATATCCAGGCCTATATATATAAGAGATCAGGGTTGTTCAATTGCTGGACTTAAATTTGATAATAATAGCTCTAGACTTCTTCAGGCTGAGAAAGATTTTCTGAAAACTAGGTTCAAACTGCTTAGTATAATTGGCATCTTATTTTACATCTGTGTATTATATGGACAAGCAGTGTCATGAACTGGTATTAATTGTTCCAATCCTTTTGATACTCAATATTATCATGGAAGGAGGAATCCAACCTCAAGTTCTACAGGAAAATTAGTTGTCAGAACCGTAGCCTGCAGAATATTATGGGTTAATAATTCAGCTATGTCCATAGCGGGCATGCTAAATACACAGGTGTTGCATTGCAGTGGAAAAGTTGGAGATTTCATCCGGACATGCAGAAGTGAATCCTAGAGAGCTTGGAGAAGAAATTGAGAGAAAAAGGGAACAATTCCAGGCCAACCTCCAGCCATTCTGTCGACAATGTAAAAGAAATGAGGTAGGCGAATCTCATTTTTATCTGTAGCAACGGGATTTTACTGGCATCTACTCTAAAACATTGTAATGACCAGGTGAAGTTGGAGGTCAAACTTGCAGCAGGAATATCTCCTACAAAAATAACACTCGAAGAAGCACAAAACTCTAATACACGATGGATTGTTCTAGACAGGTACTCATGCCCCTGATCCTTTAAAGGCTAAAATGGAAAATCCTTTGTATTATTTGCATTTAACAACAATCATCCTGTTTTGTACTCCATTACTTTTGTTTTGCATTTTAATGCATACACATTCTCAAACTGTAGAAGTATTGATATGTGCTGTGATATACTTGACAGTCACTTAAAGAAGCACAAATTTTTTATATACGGGCGTGTAGAATGCAATATAGCAGTAATGAAAGGAAAAGATGTTGCCACATTGATGCCATCAAGAGCTCCCAAGCCTGACTACTCTTCTGCAAATTGTGAAAGAGCTGATGGTGAAACTTGCCCTGAAAATCAACCCCTGAATGATCTGAAAAATGGAAATCCGGATGTTGTTGAGGAAGGGGAAACATCAATATCTCCACCTTCACATGGTTCTTGTTGGTATCCGTTGCAATGGAGAGCCGGTTTTCCTCGAAAATTTTCTCTCAGTGAAATTGAAGAGATTACTAATGGTTTCACTGATATTCTTTTTGATAGCGAAATATTAAAAATTTATGAAGGAGTATTGCAGAATGCACTTGTTATAGTCAAATCTTTTCAAGATGATGAACGATTTTGGTCAATGCTTACGATCCTTTCCCGGGTACGCCATCGCAATATCATGAACATGATCGGATATTGCTGCACTGGTACAAACAGATTACTCATATCCGAATTTTCATGTTTGAATAGTGTTGCAATGAACTTGGAATGTAAGATACCTTTCTCCCTTGTTTCTCCCCCAACTTTTGTCAACTTCTTGGATTTACTTTTCACTTTTTGGACTCTACTGCTTTAGACCAAAACATTCTTTAACTGTTTAAATATTCTCCAGGTGATACATCGGCTAGTAACCTACCTTGGAGAGCAAGGTGGAATACTGCTATGGAAATAGGTGGCAGCTTGCGCTATCTTCACGAAGAATGTCCTGATGGGTCAATTGTTCACCAGTCTGTCTGTTCATCTAACGTTTTCTATTCTCATGGTTACTCGGTGATGGTAAGTACATAGAACTGTGTCTCGGGTCACAACTTAAAGACTGAATTTATGTTCATGTGAAAATAAAAAATGAAAATCTATACAATCAACTTACGACGACTTGAGTAGAATGTGCAATTCTTTCAATAAATTTTCTTCAAATTTGGGGCCAGATTTCTCTAAATTTTTGTACTACAGTTTTCCATGCTAACTGACTTGTGGTTTTGTACATCATATTCAAGCTAAGCCATTTTATAACAGCCAAGTGGCTCAAGGATGATGTTCCCTGTAATGGGAATTCAACAGTCAAGTAAGCAAACTTTCTTAATATGATTTTCAGCTTGAATTAAAGCACCCAGTTTCAGCTTCTTATATTGGAATTTCCAATATCTGCCATGTCACAATATTTGTGCTACTTACATCCTTGTCATGAACCTATTTGGTGGGAGAAGATGCCCAAACCCAGGGAAAGACGAGCGGCTTTATGTGGATGTACGTGGCTATGGATTGTTTCTTGTGGAGCTTATTACTGGAAAGGTTGCCAATTGCGTTCCAAATGAAAGCAAGGGTCAATCCTTGATAGATTGGGTAAGATGTCTGCACAACTTCCTTCCTGTGGCAACATTTTAAACTGTTTCAAGGAGTTTCAAAGTGAAAATGTTTACGCATTAATGTACTGTTATGCATAGGCAGATATGCATTCCTGGAAGTTTTTGGACATCTAGAATGTACATTGAAGTAAAAATAAAGGAAGCTTGTAGTATTTCAAGTTAAATTTGGAAACAGGAAGGTGTTTGATTAGGACCACATTGACACTTTCGGCATTGCAATGCAGGCGCTGCCACTTCTAGAGAGTGGTTCAGTCACTCAATTGATGGACCCCAGATTGACAGATAAGGATGATCATTCAAGGGTTGTTCATTATATGGCTCGTGCGGCTTTGCTCTGTCTGAAGAATGATTCAGGTTGCAGGCCTTCCATAAGCGAGGTAAGATTTTCATCTTGTATTCGCGTGATTAAAAATAAAAATTACGTGCTTCAGAAGAAACTAAAACGAGACCTGTTCTTGTTTTTCCTCCCCTGCAATTCATGATTACATCTCTGTCACCATAGTATAATTCATTCTGCAATTTTAGCAGGTCTTGGCTGAGGTTCGAGGTGATCAGCGTGCAATAATTCAGTCTTGAATCACAATAAAATAGAGTTTGTCTATTGTTGTTTGTATGAATTCTGGAAAAAAAAAGGAGAGAACTCTTATATGCTGAGTAATTGTAATTCTAAATGAGAGGGGAGGTTCGTATAACCGATACAGAGCAGCCACAAACATTTATCTCGTAAACTAACCTGAAACTTGTCTCTTCTATCAATGGTGGCGGAGTTATTCAATAGTTTCTCGAGCTTATATTTCTTTTTAGCAAATAGAATCTCCTTTGCCCATTTCTTGATTTCGTCTGCTTTATAACAGCCATGGTGCTTCACTACACTAATAGAGTGCCTCTGTTTACCTCATAGATAACTTGAGACTTGTACTGGTCATTGATTTCATTGATTTCCAAGTGAAAATGCTGGACAGAGCAGCTGTGGGAAATGAATCCTGTCTGCCTCCTTCGCTTCACGAGATACCATGTAATGGTTCTTTAAAGTGAAGCAGAAGTTCTTCTTACAGCTGTGAAAGATCTTCTCTCCAAAACACAAAAATTGATCCTAAAAGCTTTGATATTCTGGTATCAAATTGTAGCATTTTCTGTTCTTCTCGTCTATTACAGCCACGGTTATAAACATGTTTCGATTCCAAAATGGCATAAACATATTCCACCTCAGATGGAATGGGTTACAATTAGAATTTGTAATTTAGAACACGATATAGATATAGTATATGAATATGATAAAAAAATAATGAGATTTAAAATTTTAATAATAATTATTTATGAATTTAATAAAATAAAAAATTATAATTTTTAATTTTTTGTGATATATAATTTTTTATATAAAATATTATATAAAAATATAAATTTAATATTTTACATGAATATAAAAATTTTAATATTTCATATTTGTAATAATTTAAACAAAAATTATTTTTTTTTTTTTTTAAAAATCTAATCTTTGCAAAAAAAAAATTCCTGACAGAATAATCCGTTTTTATAATTATTAATAATAGAATAACTCCTTTACCTAATTTCTATAAGAAAAATTAAATAAATTTAAAAGCTTTGCCAAAAAAACATAATAAAGGATAAAAGGAAAAAAAAAAACCCTGAAAACTGTTGGAAGGGAGCTATCTAGTGTAGCCATTCGCACCATGTTAAGATATTCCAATAAGTAAAAAGTTGTACAGTTTGACATTCTAATAGATCTTAAGGCAGATGAATCATTCAACGGTTTGGATTAACCATCAAATTAATGTTCTATCATTTATCGTGAACCGCAACTAAACACGATTATCAATTTTCATTTAATTAGGGAAAACGCTTTTGTTATCCGTGGAAGAAACAAAACCCAACCCTGGCGATAGTAAAATCTCAAATTCACACCGCAACAATATTCACACTGGAACCACTGAAAACCCTTTTCCAGAAAACCAACCCGCCCGACCCGTGATGGAGGAGACGCCGGGACGCAGGAATCTCACCGGCGGGGCAGAGCTCAGCCGAGCCGGAGCCGGCATCAACGCGCCGTCGAGCTGGAGCACAGAATAGAAAAGCTAATTCCCTTTACGGATCGAGCTCTTCATTAACTCCGTCGAAACGGGTTACTCGAGAGAAGTCAAACTTGATCTCCCACTCTCCGATCAACCATTACGGTCCTTTAACTAGGGCTCGCCAAGGGGCGCCTAGAGGAAACCTAGCCTTGGGTTTCGGTTCAGGATCGGGTGGCGCGAAGCTCCAGGAGAGGAGTTTGGTAAAAGAGAGTGTAAAAGCTGAAGATTTGGACGAATTTAATAAGGCAAGTGAAGAGTGGGAGGCTTTAGAATCGAATATTGAGGCTGAGCTTGAGGCTGTTAAATCTCGTGACAATAATGCGCATGTGGTTCCTAATCAATGCGGTGAGTTTTTCTTTTTCTTTTTTTTTTCGTTGTTTGGTTGATGGGAAAATGGGGAGGAAAGGGATGGAAAGTTGAAGCTTTTCTTTGCAACTTTAGTGAGGTGAATTTCTTTTCTGGGGGCTAGTGAATTGGAGAAAGCATGTGGATTTTTTATTTTGTTTTATGTTGATTTAGGAGTTCAATGCAGTTTGAATTGAAAATTCTGTCTTAATTAAGTGGAAAACAAGAAAAAAAAATTAATTTTTAATTTTTTTTGAATTGTTAAATTGGGAGTTTTCTTTCTTTATTTGTTTCTACATGATAATACGAATGCTACGATAAAACCCTTATTATTTTGCATTTGGAATCGATTTATTGGTTGTTTTTCACTTGGCTACCAGGAAAAGCATATGAGGGTTTTACCATGTTTCTTTGCATTTGAAATGTCAATGCAGTTTAAGGATTGCCACTTGTTTGATAAAAAAAAGTGAGAGATTCAAAATGGAGGGAATGTGAAAATGTTAATCCTGTTGTAATTCCTGATAATTATGGTTTTTCACAAGGAAATGATAATAAGTATTCATCCTGTTTCTTGTGCTCACTGATTGTCAACCTTGCAAGAGAATGTTGATCTTAGTTTCATTAGCAGAGTGCAAACTACGGTTCTAAATAAATTGGCTTCATTGGAAGCCTCTTATTTTGATGCTGTAAAGATTGAAGGAGATGACAATGAACCATTAGATTCTTTAGTGTTTCCTCCTGTTGTCAATTTTTGTATTCATCCACTCTTTGTTCTCACAGGATGGTTTTCATGGACAAAAGTTCACCATCTGGAGGAGCATGTCTTGCCTTCTTTCTTTAATGGGAAATCCCCAATGCGTACCCATGATGTGTACATGGATATACGAAACTGTATTATGAAGAAATTTCATGCAAATTCAGGTGCACTGATTGAGTTGAAAGACCTGGCAGATCTTGAAGTTGGTGACTTGGATGCAAGGCAGGAGGTATTGGAGTTCCTGGACTACTGGGGTTTGATTAACTTTCATCCATTCCCTCCAGTTGGTTCTGCTGTGCCCAATGCTGATGGGGATCAGATGGCCAAAAAGGATTCTTTGCTTGAAAAATTGTTTCACTTTGAGGCAATTGAATCACGTCCACAAGTTGTTACCCGGACCTAACCTTTCAACTCCATCTGTACCATCTAGGTTTCTTCGAGAGTCTGCAATTTCTGAGGACTTGGTGAGACCTGAGGGGCCATCTGTTGAGTACCATTGCAACTTTTGTTCAGCTGATTGCCCTCGGAAGCGCTACCATTGCCAGAAGCAGGTTAGTTATTGGCTAATAAATAATTGTCTGAACCTCAAATTATTTAGTGCACTAGGAAAAGAAAAATAACTGCACTAGTCATGTCTGTCTGAGTGTTCCTTATGGTGGTAGTCAATGTTTCAATTTTGCCTGGGTTGAATTTATATATGTATGTTTGTATATATATTTTGCTCATTTTTTCGCAAGTCTTATATTTCTAAGAGAGTAAGAGGGAATTCTTCGTCAACAAGATCTATTTATATGACATATTCTGCTCTAGCCAAGTTATAAGGAAATCCTCAAACCTTTTTAGCTACCACTCCTTGTCCAACTGTTATATAAGCAGGTGTTCAGCAAATAAGAAATCAACATAAATGGTTTGCACCACCTGCACAATCTGTTTAATGCTTGATGCACTACTTACAACAATAAGGCAATAATCTTTGAAGCTTTTTGCAAATAGAATGATCACAATGGAAAATATAACTAATTTAGTAAATTGGTTTTTCTTTATTTATTGACTTATTGTTCCATTTCTTTATGATGCTAATTATGCTTGTATTTGACAGGCAGATTTTGACTTATGTACCAATTGCTTTAACAATGGGAAGTTTGGCTCTGGCATGTCTTCTTCAGATTTTATTCTCATGGAACCTGCTGAGGCCCCTGGTCTGAGTAGCGGCAAGTGGACAGATCAGGAAACCCTCCTTCTCCTTGAGGCACTAGAACTTTATAAAGAAAATTGGAATGAGATTGCAGAGCATGTTGCTACAAAAACAAAAGCACAATGCATACTGCACTTTATTCAAATGCCTATTGAGGATCTATTCTTTAATTCTGATGATAACTTAAACCTTGATTCCAAAGAAACCGCTGGACCTGCTGTAATGAGTGATGAAACATCTGTCCCTAAAGATGTCCCTGAAACAACAGAGAGTAAGACTACTTCCCAAGAGGATCAGGCCCAGACTACACCAATGGAAACTTCAAAACATGAAGATGAAAAAGAAGTGAGGGCTGGTGAGGAAATGTCGAAACCTGAAACTGGAACTGGTGTAAAAGGTGGACCGGAAACATCAAAGTCAGAAGAAACCAAAGTAGCAAAAAATGGACAAGACATAACTGAAAATTGTGCAATTATGGCTCTAAGGGAGGCATTTGAAGCTGTTGGATATAATTTAACATCTGAAAGCACACTCTCATTTGCTGATGTAGGAAATCCTGTCATGGCATTGGTAAGTTGAACATGTAAGTGCATAATTGAGATTTTATTAATTGATGTATTTGAAGGGAAAACTGAGTTCATTTAAAGTTCTAAATTTATCCATTTTGTACATGGCTTCTGAAATAATCTTCTTATCCTAACAATTATCAGGGAATCATTTATTTGTGCTTTTAGAATAATTTTAAAGGGCTTTATCAAGTTTGCTTCCTATGAAAAAGTTTTGTTTTGATGATGTACTTCAAAGTTAAAATGTGTTGATTGGAAAGGGTTGAGGACATGACTTGATGTGATTGTACTTATACCATTTAACCTGACTTCTTCAGCTGCTAAAGAAACAATTAAACTAGTCTTTCGATTCTATTTAGGTGACTGTTGGTAATTATTTTTCATGAAATTGGCACTGAGCATATTTGGACTAACATTTAGAATTTCCCAACCTCGAAGCTTGGTGATCAAATAAATGACCAAACTACAAGATGCTGTTTAATGGCATTTTGCTTTTCTTCCCATTGGCAATAGTTTCTTCATGGCCATTTTTCCTCATCCTCTTAAATGATTGCTATGCTATTCGAAGTCCTTTATTAACCTATTACATGCTCATGCTTACTTTATGAACAATCATCATCACTTCTGCATACAAAAATTTGCTTCATTAAACTTTGCAACTTTTCTCTTGAAAATGTTTTTGCTTGACTTATTCCACCATTCAACCTTTTCCTGTGTGTTTTCATTGGTGATATATTACAACCAAAGGTTGCTCCATCTGCAGGCAGGGTTCTTTGCACGTCTGGTTGGACCCAACATTGCTGCTGCTTCAGCCCAGAGTTCATTGAAATCGTTATCTGGTAGTGAAGAAATCTCTAGAATAAAACTATTTTATTCTTCTATATTTTTCTAATTACAATACTAGAATTGCATAAAAATATATAGGCTAAAGACTAAATATTCTCAGCCTTAAAACCCAAGATTTTCATGGATTAAAACAGCTAATCAAATGAGTAATTTACTCTCTACACATAATAGAAAAATATCTAATGGATTTGGTGTAATTACCCAAATCACTCCTTATTCTAAAAATGAGAGACTTAACTAAAATAGATAAAGTCAATCAATCAAGTAATAATGAAGATTAGACTTCCACAGGTAATTCTCCCAGCATTCAACTGGCTGCAAGGAACTGCTGTCTTTTGGAAGATCCACCTGATGACAAGAAGGAAGCAACAGGTTCTGAGAGGTATGCTAACGTATTTCAAGATTATATTTTGCTTAGCAATTTGTGAATGTTATCTGATGTCAGTTAGAGACACACAGTGTTGTCAATGAGAAGGGTAATTGGGATGCTCAGAATGTCAAAATCTCAGAAGACAAAAGCCTCAAGGAGGATAAGTTCACTCCAGTTTTGGATCAGAAAAGTTCATTTCGCAACCATGGGGACCAGAAGGCTAAAGTTTCTCTTCCTAAAGAAAAGGTGACATCACCTTCCCCAATGATCTATCCAACGATAAAAAAGAGCCAGGCACTTTTGCAACTAACGAGGAAGTTAAAAAGGCTAATTTGAATGAATCCAGCATTATTGATCAATCAAAGGATCATCAACCAAGTGTAGTGAGGGAATCAGATAACTTCGCATCCCAAGTTCTACCAAGTTCTCTGGGGGAGACTGGGGGGAAGGAAACCTCAGCTGAAGAGCTTTCTGAGCCTCCAGAGGCAGTGAAGGAAGTAGATATGTCCGATTCTATTCCATTGGAAAAGAATGAGCCTTGTGATGCAGCTGCATCAAAGCCAGTGCGCGATCTATCTGAACCAGCAGAGGCATTAGAAAATCTAGAGACAGTTTCCTCTTCTCCATCCAGAGCAAAGAATGAGCAACAACCTGTTAAATCAAGTTCTGGTGGGGAGTCTGCTCAGCCAACAGAGGCATCAAATGATATTGAATTGGTGTCTGATTCACAACCATCAGAAAGGAGTGAGCCCCAGCAACCAGTCACATCAAATTCAATAAATGAAAATGGAGCAACCACAGGTTTCTTCTTTTTCTTCTATAAATGTCTTGTTTATAGTTTGGACGTCACCATAACAGAAACCAGCTTTACTGAAAATGCTAGTTAATATCTTATGGGAATTTGTTGAAATATTTAACAAGTCTGATTTGAAATATGTACGGTGCGCCAGAAGCAATGCTTGGTTCTATAAGGTTAAACATAATTTTTCTTGGCTTTATGCAGATTAGCTTGGAAAATTGAGCCTTGATACATAGGAATGGTTTTATAATGTTCAGTAAAATATAAACAATATATTATAAGAACCACCAGCTGGCAAAATGCTTACTTCATTTTTATATTGTCTCCTTTATCTTATTGTTCTTTGCAGACAAGATTAAAGAAGGTAAAAACGAGAACTGTGACTCTACAAAGAGAAAAGGTGATAATAACATTGATAATTAAAGCGTGCTGCCGTTACAGCACTCTCAGCTGCAGCAGTGAAGGCAAAACTTCTGGCAGACCAGGAAGAGTACCAAATACTACAGCTTACCACATCATTAATAGAAAAGCAGGTAATTTAGTTGCAAAATCCAGGGAGTCTCCTTCTATATCCAACTGGAGCTAAATCTAAGTTTTTGGAGGCTTTGATTCAATGCAGTTACATAAGATGGAAGCCAAATTAGATTTCTTCAATGAAATGGAGGGTGTCATGATGAGGGTGAAGGAGCAATTGGACAGGTCAAGACAGAGGCTTTACCATGAGCGAGCACAGATAATTGCTGCTCGACTGGGCTTGCCAGCTTCCTCCTCTAGAGCAATGCCACCATCAAATACTGCAAATAGAATTGCAACTAACTTTGCAAATTCAGTTGCAAGGCCTCCTATGAGCATGACAGCCCCAAGGCCGCCAATGTCGAGACTCATGGGGCCTATGGAACCTACCCCTTCCAACCCATTTGTATCCACAACAGTTGCAGGAAGCTCAATTCGACCTGCTAGTGAGGACAATCTTTCTTCAGTTGGAACAAAGTAGTCTATTCTTTTGTACTTGTGGTTTTTGTTCTTGTTAGTGTTGCCAGTCATTTTGGGTGCTTTTAAGAACTTGAGATTTTACTCGGCTGAATTAATAGCAAATTCATTTTGATGTTTTCATTTGCTAATTCCAGCCACAGCATTGATTATCTCTGAGCAATCTGGAAACCACTGCCTTACATTAGATGTGAAGCTGGCATCTCATTGTCCTAGGAGGAAGGAGCAGATGGCTATTGCTCTCCCTTCAATCCTATTCTAGTCAAAATGGTTTGAGCCTTCTAACTTGGAATTTTCTTCTGTGTTCGTATTTTTGTAAGGCTTGTTGGTAGTTTAATACTATGGGTACTCAATGATGAAATTAGGTGGTGCAAATCAATCATCCATAACCTTACCAAATTCTTGGGCATCTTAAGGTGCAAGTCTGGCAGATGCAACCGGTGTATTCTATTTATAAACGGACAGAGATGTTTTAATGTTATAAATGACGTAAATCTTTGGATTGGAGCTCCCTCTTCTCTGTTGTTTTTCTAGATAAGTAGCTTCCTGTTTTCATTAACTTTTAGACCATGAGTCGCAATGGCTTCTTAGTGTAATACTCAGAAGGGGTTATATCTGAGCTGTATTTTGGCGACGCTTAGAAAAAGCTAGTCAAAATCACAAGGGACGAAGATATAAACTGCTACGATTTTGCAAGCAAGATGTAGATAGGAAATCTTTGGTTAATCAATCAGCTTCAATCAAGTTTGACATGTTCTCTTATTAGGCATATGTTGTAACCCAAAATCGCTGATCACCAAGCATTTCTGCTTCCTCTAATGTGATATGCAAATATGGAAATGCGACAACTGCAAACTGCAACATTGATTTCTGAAAATCAGATTGTGTCAGAGATAACAATTCATATGGTAACGTTTTTATGTCAAACAAAAATAAAACATAAATCAAAAAACAATCCTAGTTTGAAATTTGAAGTGCCCAACAATCATGATATCAAGTCTACTAGCCAGACAATACTTGGGTAGCGCTAAGCTAAATACAAGAATGTTGAACGAATGAGGAACTTGAACATTACACAGGCACCAGACAACTAAATCCAACGAAAGCATTAACAGACCATTTTGTTTCTCACACAAACACTAATTGTACAGCGTAGCCCCGATATGAATCCATAAAAATGGTTGGGAATGCCAAATCATTCGTAACACTTAAATGATAAATTTTACTGAACCAGAAAAAAATCACATAATATATTTCAACATTCACATCCAGTTGACCTTGAGTGGCTGCTGCTTGCAACGTCAATGGTGTCAGGCAAGTATCTTCAGGAACAAAATATCCACCATAAGAACATGAGAAAAAAAGAAAGAAATTAAGTGTAAGTCAGACAATACAAAAACAAATGAAATAAAACTATTGAAAAATAATTTCAGAACCCAAGCTGTTAACAACTTTCAGTATGGGTCCTCAAAAATAAATATTGATTGCAAATATTGCTAATTCTCAGTTACCAAAAAGAAAATTCACTTCATAATTTGCAATAATTGAATATCGCATGAGATAACCTAAAATTGCAGAGCAAATTTAAGACGCAGTTATGCTTTCAGCTGCTGCCACTGGAGTTTGTTCATTCAGCTATCGAATTGCATTTCTATATGCAGCAACTAATTTGTGTTACAGCAAACACTACTAAAGTACAGCTTAAGGTTTTTTCCATAATTAAAAATTAACTAGGAATGTATACATTTGCAGGAATAGAACTGTTTATGATTTTTAACTTACATTTCTTCCTCTTCCTCACTCTTTAGGGCATTCTTTGCTATGCATTGAAAAGCTTCTTCCACATTAACTCCCTCCTTGGCTGATGTCTCAAAATATGGAATATTTCCTTTTGAGGCACACCATGCTCGAGCCTTTTTCTCAGACACCTAGAGAGTCCACAATAAGCAGATAATTGTATCTTTGTAGAAAGAAAGAGTATGTAAAGCCACTGCAGAGGGAGAAAAAAGACATACCACTCTACTGTTTCCACCATCCACATCAACTTTGTTTCCCAAAACAACAAATGGGAAATTCTCTGGATCTGAAGGGCTTGCCTGCAAGAGATTTCTGAAATCATCATTTCTCTACTGAATAAATCCCGGAGAGTTGGTTTGATGGTTTTCAGCAGAATTCAGTTCAGAATACATACCTGAATAAGAAACTCTTCTCTCCAGTTGTTAAGGTTGTCAAATGATTTTATTGAGTTGACATCATACACAAGGACACAGCAATCAGCACCACGGTAGAAAGCGACACCTAGGCTCTGGAATCTTTCCTGCCCAGCAGTATCCCAGATCTGGGAAAAGAAAATAATGTTGATGCATTTCAAGCAAAGTGGCCACTAAAAAAAGCTAAAACAAGACCTGAATCTCTTTAGAATGTAATGCTACAATTTGCTAGATAAACGCCCAACGGTGGTCCATAAGGTTGCCTAATATGATAAACCCTGATTGATGAAGACAAAATTCATGCAGTGATCAACCTAAGTCCAATCGATGAGTGGAAAAACATAATTCCCTAGTCAATCATCACAAATTTGCACCTTGTCAACAATATAACTAGAGAAAAAGAAACCATCTACGAGCTTTTCAATGAATAGAAAAGGGTCGCCACTGGCAGTTCTGAATTAATGAGATCATAGTGCAAAGTAAGATGCATTTGTTACAGATCTTAAATGTAATTAAGAAATCATGGTTAAGCTCTATTCCATCAAAGCTAAGCTTGGTTCATGAGCTAGAGATAAAAACCAAGCCTCTTCTTCGTCCAAAACACACCATACTCAGCATGAGAAATTAAATTCCCAAAAAAAAAAAAAAAACCAACAGCTGAATCAAGATATTCAAAATGTCAAAATGCTTGTATTTGAGCACAAGAAAAAATGGATATTAACTCTGTAATAAATCAAATATAAAGCTCAGTATGAAATCTAACCTGTAAGGTGAAAAGCCTATCCTCAAACTGCACTTCCTTTGTCAAAAAATCAGCCCCAATCGTCGCCTTATACTGATTGCTAAACTTCTTATTTACATATCTAAAAGCAAAATGTAAAGGCAAACAAAACCATAACTCGTAGTGATAATAATTACAATGAATTAATAAGTAAATACGACTTCAATTTTTTTAATAATTAAAAAAAACGACTGCTGCAGGATACTGATTCATCAAAGACGTCTTCCCTACCCTGCAAATCACAGATCAATCACAATCATAGGCATTGAATTACAAAAAAAAAAAAAAAAACAATAATAAAAATTCTAAAGAAAATCGCAGGCGAAATTAGCTAGAGCATTATGACAAACAAGACCAGTAATTCGAATCGAGAGATCCGTACGGAAAACCCTAGAAACGAATTTTCGGAAAAGAAAAATACATACGAATCTATACGGATAAATATACGGACAGGTTTAAGAAAAAGAAACTAACTAACCCACTATCGCCGAGGATGATAACCTTCAAGAGGGTTCTACGGCGAGACGGCATCGTAAGAAACACTAAAGAAACGGCGGATCTATAGATGAAGAAAAATTTTCTATATCTAGAAAGAAAGAGAGTGACTGAGGTGCTCGTGCACTTGTTTGTCTGCAAAGAGAAAATTCGGTAGGAAAATTGGCCGAACTTTCTAGCGTTTTTTGCAAAGTTTCTTCTACTCCTTTTTCTTTTTTTTTTTTTCCCTCTCTCTTCCAAGTCGTGGAAATACCGGACTGACCTGTAACTGGCATCTTCGTATTTATAGTTTGGGTTTTTCAAGTATATGGGCCGGAAATTTTGCGTGACAGCTTGGACAGATGTTCCGTTCAACGGGAGTGTTGCTTCGGTTGATTTGTTGTAATTGTTAGAAAATATTAGAGTGACGAATGCTTTTCAACTAGCTCTCGTAGCTCAGTCGGTTAGAGCACCCGTTTAGTAAGCGGGAGGTCTTGAGTTCGACTCTCAACGAGAGCAACATTTAATATTTAGCCAATTTTCCCCTCTTTTTCCCTCCCCATTAGCCGTTGTATGCCACTGTCATTCCAAATATATTAGTAAATATATGGTTGTTCAAGGGAGTCGGTGGCCATTTTTATCAATGTAAGGAGACAAATATTGACAAAAATCACTTGCCATTTCATGCTTCTTTGATTTAATGAAAACCATTTATCCAAAAAAAAAAATAGAAATTAATTTGTTGGGCCATTGTATAAGTAAAAATGGCATAACTAACTCTATAGTATAAGAGAATAGACCGAGTATAAGAAACAGCATAAATTAATCTTTTTTTTTTTAATTCCAAATATAATATACAGTTTTTTAAATTAAAATAAAATATATTTAATATGATAATTTAAAATAAATAATTATAAATTAATATTCGTAATGATTTCAATAAATAATTATAAAAAAAATTTAAATTTAAAATTTTTTCGTTAAAAGAAAATTTTAATTAATTAAATCAACTTATATAAATTAATCGCCTGTACCTTTCACTGCTTTACATTAAATTTGTGCTGTCAATTAAACAACTTATATAGACATTGGCCGAAAAGAAATAACAAAAAAAATCTTAAAATTAGAACTTAAAATAGAGATTCGGAGATGATTCAGCTAAAAAAAGGAAACTCATGGTTCTCAGAATGTTTGATGAAGCTATTACCTAGCAAAAAAACTCTCTTCCTGTTCCTTTCACTTTGAGAATCCTCTTACCTTTCTCCTACAGGTACTCTATTTTTCTTTTCTTTCTCATTTTTCTCATTATTTTCCAATGCATTGGCTAACAGCAATTTTTTCCTATATATATTTTTTTCTTCATGGCTAAGCCTATGGTATGCGCAGTTGTAATCAAGATTGATGATTGTTGATAGGATTGTTATTGTTTTCTTTACTTTCTATCTAATTTCTTTGGTCGAATGTTTCATTGCAGAGGTGTTTGAAAGGCATCGTTAGAAGGAGAGGAGGGGTTTTTCTGGACCTTTTAAGGATAACCTTCGTCGGAAAATACCCAAATGGCTTCTTCCCCAGAAGGTTCTCCACCTTCACCATCTAGTTCATCACCACCTCCATCATCGACAGATAAATCGCCGCCGTCGCCACCGCCACCACATTCAGCTTCACCTCCACCACCAAAATCGTCACCACCCCCGGAAGAGTCAAAGTCATCTCCACCTCCTTCATCTTTATCTTCTTCACCAACACCACCACCACCACCAACACCAACACCAACACCACCACCACCACCCTCATCATCATCATCACCATCACCATCACCACCACCACCACCCTCATCATCACCATCACCACCACCACCAACACCACCCTCGTCATCACCACCACCACCACCTTCGTCATCACCACCACCACCAACGTCATCATCATCGCCACCAACACCACTTTCGTCATCAACATCGCCACCAACACCACCCTCGTCATCATCCTCACCAACAACACCTTCTTCATCATCAGAATCATCATCACCACCAACACCACCTTCGTCATCATCAGAATCGTCACCACCATCTCCATCTAATAATAATGGCAGCAATCAAAATAATGCTGCCACAACTAATCCTACTCTATCATCATCATCATCACCACCACCACCACCAAAGTTGACATCCGAAAATAGCTCATCAACTCTTTCTTCCTCGCCAAGACTGTCACCTCCACCATCATCTACTAATATTGTGAGTGAATCAGAATCGGATACCTCATCATCGCAGTCTTTGCCAATTATAATAGGTGTTTCAGTTGGCGTTGTTTTGTTGTTTACTCTCATTATAGCGCTCATTATTGCTACATGCAACAGAAAGAAAAAGAAGTCTGATAATCATATGCAATATTACAATAATTCTACGCCACCACAAGGTAAGTATATTTCAAGAAACTAATTGTAATCCCTTGTAATACGAGAAAAAATGTTACTGTGATCTTTCTAAAAAATCATGCTTTTTGATTAATAATGCATTAATTTATAGGTGGTGTTAGAAAGGGAAATGCCTCAAGCCTAGCCCAAGCAGGACAAATGAACAAGAGGTACCAAGCTAATGATCACCTTGTCATTAATTTACCATCGCCTCGTGGTGGAAAATGCAGGTCGTGGAGGATGGCAACAACCCATCACCACAAGGGCAAACACCATCTTCTAGTGAAATGAGCTCCAATTTACATGGTCCAACTTGCCACACGCATATCCATCGCCTTTAGGGCTCAACCAAAGCCTTTCACCTATGAAGAGCTAGCAGTCGCAACTCATGGGTTCTCTCAAGCTAACTTGTTGGGTCAAGGTGGGTTTGGGTTTGTCCACAAAGGAGTTTTGCCCAACGGCAAAGAAGTAGCTGTTAAGAGTCTCAAATCTGGTAGCGGACAGGGTGAACGTGAATTTCAAGCTGAAGTTGAGATTATCAGTCGTGTCCATCATCGTCATCTCGTGTCCCTTGTTGGGTATTCCATGGCAGGAGATAAAAAGATGTTGGTCTATGAATTTGTGCCTAATAAAACTCTTGAATTCCACCTTCAGGGTATGCAACGGGATAACGATGATATTACACTTTTTGGCCACAACTCTAATTACTCACCTATGGATTCTGTGATTCAGATAAAAAGACCATCAAATAAGATTCTTTGATAGACTAGAGATGAGTCAAGCTTACATTATATATGCTAGAGGTGTAACTGGTCATATCTTATGCTATCATTGTTTGATTGCAGAGAAAGGTCTTCCGACCATGGACTGGCCTACTAGGCTCAAAATTGCTCTGGGAGCAGCCAAAGGCCTTGCATACTTGCATGAAGATTGTAAGTATAATTTTATATAGCATTAGTAAACTCTCTATTCCACATTCCTTCCTTTTCTTTTATAATCCATTTGAGGAAACACAGGCCACCCTCGCATCATTCATAGGGACATCAAATCCGCCAATATCCTTCTCGATTTCAGTTTTGAAGCCAAGGTATGTTACAACCTTGAAATAAATTGATTGGATTTGTTTTGTTTGTTTCAGCTTATTCGAAATGTATATTGAATTGCGAACCTGCAGGTGGCAGATTTCGGGTTGGCTAAACTTACTCAAGATGACAATACTCATGTCTCAACTCGTGTCATGGGAACATTTGGGTGAGGAAAATTGGTTCAATACTTTGAATCCACAAGCTTTTGGTTATATCTGATTAGAGTAATTTTGATGAATTTTCTTATAATCAACAAATGCAGTTACTTAGCTCCTGAATACGCATCCAGTGGCAAGCTGACAGATAAATCTGATGTTTTCTCCTTTGGTGTTGTGCTCTTGGAATTGATAACTGGACGTCGGCCTTTAGACCTGACCTCAGATATGGACGAGAGCTTAGTAGAGTGGGTGCGAAGTGTCTCCTTTTTACTATATAAGTTTAATGTCTTGATACACCAGATGCTGACACGGAAAAATTCAATTATACATTCATTAACAGGCTAGACCCTTATGCGCAAGTGCAATGGAGAATGGAAACTTAAGTCAATTGGTGGATCCGCGCCTGGAAAACAATTTTGTCCGCCATGAGATGGCACGCCTGGTTGCATGTGCTGCTGCATGTGTTAGGCATTCTGCTAGAAGGCGGCCGAAAATGCGACAGGTATATGAATCCTAAATCTTGTTAGGAAATTTTTTCAAGCACAATTATGGTCCTAGCTAGATCTTGTTAACTTTCAGGTTCTTTGGAAGTGAATCAAAAGATTGCATGTTTAAGCACCTTATTTCCCCTGAATAGGATTTGCTACCTAACACATTATATATAAGTAATGCTTCTTCAATTATAAATTATCAAGCAGTTCTTTGGTCTTATTCACCAACCACATGTATTGGAGATTTGAAATGCTTCACAAAATTCTGAACATGGGTAGATATTGATGAATTTATATATATTTATATGCCTGAAACAGATTGTGCGTGCACTGGAAGATGATGTTTCATTGGATTACCTAAATGAGGATATGAGACCAGGCCAAAGTTCAAGGTTCAGCTCCACGAGTGGCAGCAATGACTATGATTCTAGTTCATATAGTGCAGACATGAAGAATTTCAGGAAACTGGCATTGGACAGCCTAGAAATTGGAAGCTGCAACTTTGGCGACACGAGTGAGTACGGGCTCAATCCTTCTCCCTCTAGCAGTGACTCAAGTGGGACTATGAGCCGAAGGCAACCTTAAGTAAACTCGAAATTCATCAAGAATAATACGTAAGGGATATCAAAACCAACCCCTTTACTGAAAGTTCAGACATTTTCTTCACTTTCCCCGCGTTAAAATGTGACAGAGATACCATGCTTTTATAAAAACTCAACAAATAGATGAAATGAACACTCTATTCAAGGTGAGTTAGAGTCATTCTATTTAATTACATTGTTCATACATAAAAGATTTGGAATATGAATGGTCAAAGATAATTTGTACAAGTAAAACATAATCTCGTATATGACAGAATACAATTGAAACAAAAATACCCCTTTAGCAATTTGACAGTCAACTGATTTGAATCAATTAGCTGTCTATTCTTGACTTTTGTGCTGGCTGATATTTGGATTTTTTTGGAAGTTTGATGACCGCCTTTAACTTGTATGGCATCATGGCTTCTTGCCGTTGAGATGGTCGTTTGCATGCAACTGAGTTGTCTCAGTTAGCTCCTCAGACTTGCATGACTGCTGAGTTATATAAGATTGAATTGACTCAGTTGATTCCTTGCATGGATGCCGAGTTGACTCGGTTCCTTGCATG